CGGAATTGGACTTCTTTCGATAGCCCCAAGCATACTGATGCTGTGTGAGGTACTAAGAACCTTCAAATTTAGAAGACATTACGACAGTCGATAAGATACCGCAAATAATTGCGTGCTCCTATTTCACCATGCTTCCTACTGATAGAGGACAAATCTTTGTTTTTAATTTATTTTATTATTAATTATTAATTAATCATGTGGAACATGGTGTAATGGTTGCAGCTTACAAAGTTGTAAAACAAAAAACTTGGCGATTAAAAGTGGCGGAGAGTTTATTGACAGTTCTCGTCCGTTCTACGCCCGTGATTTGAGAACTGACAGTAAATGTATAATTAGAAGCATTTAATTTTTTTTTTGACGTTCATAAGTGTACATTGTGTTACCTATACGACTTTTGACTTACAAGCGCCATTTAGTAATCCTTGTAATAAATAATAAACAAAGACTACATCTTTATAGGTTTGATTCAAAGACGCTACAATGTTTTTTTTTGTGTTTTTTTAATGGCTCTGGCACGATTTGTGCATTAGCCAGCGTCAAGTATAGGATTTTTTATAATTCGTGCTTGCCTTTAGGAATTCGACCGTGTCCTCCATGTACGGTTTAAGCACTCGCCCGGTACCGCACAACCCTCCCAAAGGTCGAGAACAAATTTAAATTAAATTAAAACTTGCCCTCGAACCGGGAATCGAACCCGGTACCCCTCACCTAGCTGCCACTTAATAAGACCGCTAGGCTATGAGGCTACATTGTTAAACGTAGCACGTGAACTCACATGATGTTTATATATAATACCCGATGCTGCCAGAATTTAAATTTTATTGCCATTTACAAAGAACGCGTTACGATTTGGCCTATTTGAATCAGGGTATTAATCTATATTAGGCGCTTTATGGGCCTCAGATTTCTATATCTGTTTTTGTTTAATAGGCAAGTAGGTGATCATCCGTGCCTGACATACATCGACATTTTGGGTCGTAAGGTTGCCTTACCTTTACCTTCACCGTGCGAGTGAGATAAATGAGCTCATAGTCCATTGGTGCATTACAATTTTTTTTAATTGGACAATTCACACCAATTGACCTAGACCCATGCTAAGCTGGTGAAGCTTGTGTTATGGGTACTAGGCAACGGATATACATACATATTATAGATAGATAGACATATAAATACATGTTTAAACACCCAAGACCTAAGCACAACAGTTATAGTGTTTGTCTCAGCCGGGGATAGAACCCGGGACCCATGCATTCGCAGTCAGGGGTACTAACCACTAGACTAATGAGCCGTCAGATTATTACTATTTTTTATCATTACTGCTTTAGTATAAGTAATGTTTTTTCCTAAACAGTGCTTCTGAATAGAACGGGCGAACGGGCAGGAGGCTCATCTGATGTTAAGTGACATCTCCGCCTATGGAGACTCTTAAAGCCAGAGGACTTGTGTTGCCGGCCTTTATAATGCTAATAGAAATAACTTGAACGCGTAGTAAGATAGTCGCAAATAAATATGATTATTATATTATACAAAAATTTAAAGGGCTTTTTGATTTAAAAATAATTTCAGATTATCACGAGTCAACACAAAAACTTTAAAATTTCAGGTTAAAATTAGACGAAAAAAAATTAGGTCATAAAAAAATTTGCTTTTGTATTAAGGAGACCGATTTAATGATTTTACCAGAATCTGTCAATTTAATTTTCAATTAAATATCTCAAATGAATTTAAGCGCCATCTAGCGGCACTATGTGAACGTAGAAACCCCACACCGATCGCGCCGTATTTTTAAATGTATTAAAATGAATCTCTCACAAAAGCAAACTTTGTACCAAAAACGTATATTCTTTTCGTTATTGTGCGTAACTAACCGAAAAATTATTGCAAAGAAATAATTTTTTAATTAGTAAAAAAGGAACAAATTGTTATTTTTTGTTTGAGTATTGAATCTTTGCAATGAGGAAGCATTTTCAATGTTGCGAGAACAGACAAGGTTGTGCTGTCATGCGAACAATGTCACGATTTTCTTTATTTGTGTCAAACTTTATCCTGTTGGTAAAAATGTTGTATGAAGAAAATGGGAAAATTGTTCAAAATCATAGTATTGACATAACTTTTGACCGGATTGAAGTTATGTATTTACAATTATTTTTCATAATTTTAAATTTAACCGACGTTTCGCGTGCTTTACAGCGTGCGTGGTCACGGTGACTGAAGACAAAACAGGTGTTAAATGTCAAAAAGTATCACAGCTGTAGAAAAAGTTGTATTATCTGTATTTGTTTCTTCGGAGTTGGTATCGACTAAAAGGTGGAGGGTTCTGATAGAGGACACCGTGAGCCATGGTTACTGCAATACTGATGATTTCACGACACTAATTATTTTACTTAATTACTTTCGCATTTATCAATACTACGCTGTCTTGCCATATTTCAGTATTTTTTACACTTGAAAACACAAAGTGGGAAACGAGGTTGCTGCATTTAGAATTACAGTCACTGCAATCTTGATACTTCTTTAAGAATAAATAAGCGAATAAGAATTGTATTAGTTCACGTAACCACCATGCAGGTTTTCTTTCTGCATGGACTCTAACATCAGTTGATACTCTTTAACCAGAGCAACATAAGTCCCTTGAATTATAGAAGTACTTATTATTTAAATATGTGGTCTTGTTAATTAAAGTAAATTATTATTACAAAAGACGACCTGTGACCTAATTTATAATAAAATATTTAGTAACAAAATTAAGTCCATTAAGTTAGTCCTGGAATGAGGTCGCTTCGTGAAGCCTGTGAAGTGATCAGACTTCTCTGCTTCTGGAAGGAGCTAGGCTGCCTAACTTAGCCAAGACTTTACGTACAATCGCGCAATTATGAGTCTAAGTGCGGAAACTTAGTCGACCAACCTTAACCTTAAGGCCATTATGTTAAGGGAAAAAGAAGGTATTTATCACCTCCAAATATAAGCATGTCTCTTCATTTCTTCAACTACTCTAGCAAAGACTTGTTAGCTTATGCATGTGCTTCTAAAACTTGTACAAAATAATCTTACCCAAGTGCGTGCAATCCAAATAAGTGTATCGTTGCTAAGTCTAGGTCCAATCAATGGATTCATTTGTGCCATGTACGCACACAGCCAGCTGAAATTATATAAATTTTATATTAGTATATTTAATTAGCACTTTTCTTAATCTAAGTTGCTCGGTCACTTGTTAATTTATACAACTATACTCTGATTTTTAATTCCGTAGCATTATGACAGCTATCACTATTTGACATATCAGAGATTACAAACCTTTTTGGCCGGGCACATTTTTCAATTTAAATATGAGTCTGAACATCTGAGTCTATACATACATTTTATTTGATCGTGAATGTATCCATTTTATGAAGTGCGATGCTCCACATTAAAAGTGGTTTTACAGCGAGTGATAATTATGTCCCTTTTTATCACAAACAGTAAAAAACGCATAAGATAATTTTTTTTTATAGGTCTACTAAACCTGGAATTAGTAGGCAGTGATGCCAGCTAAAATAAGGTTGTGTAATACAAGTTAATTCAATATTTATTGATCACGATATTGAAATATTTGTTATTTTTGTATTAGGCCACTCAAGTAAGTAAATATTTAGATTTACCTTTTTGTAGGTAAAACATAAAAAATATGTAGCATTTTATTTTTTATTGCCCTCAAATGTGTCAAATTTGTCCCTTTTTCGGTGGAAAACTTTTTTAGAAGCAACACTTATGAAATGTCAGAATTCTACAGAATAAAAAATTAGAGTTTAATGCAATATGGACATTGGTAGGCGTTTTCACAAAGTGTGGTGCATGACTCGGATTTATCATGGTAGACATTACAATTTAATCTGTTTTTTGCCACTATGAGAACCTGAATAATCAATCATTTCAAAATTTCAGGTACTGTTTTATTTTAACATTACTGGTAAGACATTATTTCATGGACTTTGGTTGCCAAGTGTAGTAGCATGTAAGCAAAGTTGTTTTTCTGAGAACTCTTTACAGAGGCATGTCTGGATACAACATCTGTCTTTAAACATTATATATAAACTATTAATTTATATGGCCAAAATTTTAACATAACATTTTTCAGTATGTCCACCAAGATGAAAGAAAATTTTTTGTGCAATTGTGAAAGTTAATGACAAAAATTTTACTATGATATAGTTTCTGATTAGTAAATAATGCTTAGAGGTTTGGGACTATAAACTTCAAGTGTGCTTTAGAATACAAAATTACATGAAAATATAATTTAGTATGTAACCATTGCATTTAATAACTATTATTATCCACAAGACACAATAAAATAGGCCTTATCAGACTAAGGAAGTCTGGGATAAAAGCCTTATAAATTTTAATACTTACAATAACCAGCACGTAGCTGCTGTCAACATCAACACCACCTGGATGATCCTGAAATATTTAAGAACTAATGTTAGGGATGGGGCCTATTATTTTATTGGAATAACCAGAAATGTAAGACAACTTACCCTCTGTTGGGGCCCTTGGGAGCAAAGAACGGGCACACAATACCCACCACACCCCATAATACTGTGAAAACAGTGATGGGAAGAAATGACGCACCCATTTCGGGATGATTTCAATAAGAATATATAAAACTTCCTCAATAACACAAATATCAGCTGCCCAAAGATGGTGGGCGTTTATCAATGTTGGCAGCGCTGTACGACGACAGTCATATGACAATTAAATCGGATACACTTAGAAGAAATCACGTTTATAGAGTCTATGATTTTTTGAATGTTTTTTTTTATATTTTACCGACTGAAAGCCAATATCAATGAAGTCAAGTATCGGTTTACGGTCTATCTTTATGGTTTTCCATTGTGACAGCTATAAATATGTAATTTTAAATTAAAAAATGTCGATGTTACAAAATTTTTAAGAGCTTTTATTGATTTAAAAAAAACAAAATAAATATAGTTATAGCTTTTAATTTTTTGAAGTTTCTGAATAAAATGCGCCCACGAAAAGAAAAGCCTGATGACAATCGCAATCGCAAACGCAAAACAAACACAGATAAATTGCTACGAAAATCACGAAACCGGTTGAGAAATGTTAATCGCAAAGAAGGATCCGATATAGAAGAAACATTTAAAAATATTATTCGAGATCATGTAAGAGTAAATACACTAATAGTTGATACATAACTTAAAAATTCAGGTAATCGTTTTTAGTGACACCTACAATTTTCGGGAACAATAATAGAGATAACGGGTATATATCGCGCTAATAAAGTTATTCTGACCTTTTAGAATATAATTTAAAACTTCACGCCCTTGGGACCGGCCAGTCAGTGGTAAAACTATTCGAGAATTCTCCTTTAAGTATGAGGAAGAGCAGCGCATTCCTTCCTATACATTTACATGTATTTCATTTCTCTTTTATTTGGAAAAAAGAAACGTCTTCTACGCATCTAATAACTCTTTAACTTATATGACGATACTCACATTCAAAATTTTTTAGAAGTCACAAGCGAAGGTCGTGAAACATTGGGAGTTATCTCCAAAAGATTCCTGCGAAGTATACAAAGACAGGCGTAAGAGGAAAATTGAAGATAATACCGAGAGTAATGAGAATCGTGGAAATTCTGAAGAGAACTTAAACAAGACGAAACCTATTAAAAAGCGTGTAAAGAGACGACCATTAAAAAGGGACAGCCGTGGGTAGGTTATTAAAAATCACTACGATTATAAAGTATGAAAAATAATTATTACCATACTTACATTTTATATTAATTACGCAATCGACATTGCTAAGAGGTTTTTATAGAACAGTGATCTTAAATGATACGCCCATGGGCACTCGCACTACTACAAGGCTCGTAAGTGCGTCACCGGCCTCTTAAGAATTGGAACGCTTTTTGCTTGAAGGCCTTTAACGCAAAAACATCAATTGTTGAGGGCTATAAAAATAAGTACAGTATAGTGTAACTATCTATATATAACATATACATTGATTTTCAGGCGATTTCTACCAGAGACATCAAGTACTAACTGTTCGTGTTCAAAATGCGCCGAGTCTATTTATTCTGATGACCAGTGATTTTATTCTCTGAACGATATATTGTTTATTCTAAAGATGTTTTTTTATGACATATAAATGTATGTGTAATTAAAATGCTATAACATGCAGTAATTATTTTAAATTCCAAATTTATATTCAATAAAAAAAATAACTGTGACATCCGCTTTATACAGGGAAGCGACAACATATTTTCGTCCTTTATTTTCTTGTGAAAAAAATGAGACAAAAGGTAAAAAATACATAAAATTGTGCAAATTGTCATTGCTTTTTTTCGGGATTTGTATCGTCTTTTTTACAAAGACTGGAAGCCATCTACAGTCTACACTCACGCTGTATTTAGTTACTCGTTAAAATTGACGTGATTGGAACGACGGCGTTAGCTACTTTACGTGCCTACCAATATTATAATGCCTTGTGTTTTTATTACAAATACAAATAAAAATATCATATCATGCCGTTATATTATTAACATAAATCCTTGGACTCACGACCCGAAAACCGACAAAAGCGGAAAGGAGGCGATGCAACACTCTCGCGCTTACGTCTCCTCGTGTCGCCTCGTCGAGAGTGTGGATGGGCAATAAAAATAACATAGCGTAGTACGGTAAAACAATGAAGAAGATTGTATAGGTAAAGAAGAAAAAGTCAACTGACTAACTTGTCATTTACAATATGTTTATAAAAAATTCTAACAAATTTTAAAGTGTTTTAATTCAATTAAAAATTCTAAGAAATGTAGAAGTAATATCCGATGTCCGGGCCGCTGGGTGTAGGGAACTATGCTTCGTTTATCATTTGGTTTGGTGTTTTATGCATTTATGTGTCACTTCTAACAATTACAATACTTGGAGTGGTCTTTATTTTGTAAGTTATAGATTATTAGTAACATATTTATTTTGTGAAGTAGCTCTTACATTCTATTAGTTATTTTTAAAGTATTTGGTTGAGGATATACTTATGTAAATAAAGCGCCTTAACATATATTTTTTACAGTAACATATAGTATGTACTGTTGTTGTTGTCAGTACCTAAAAATTCAATGAATACGTGAACTTGGCACACCGCAGTAAGTACTATACAATTAAAATGAGAGAGTTATAAAATAATGGATTATTTTTATTTCTATAGTTACGCTGTATAGTTGTTTGATCTTAGTATAATTCATATAGGATGGTTAATTTCTTAAATGGTTCTATAAAACATGCTGCATATTTTTTAAAGCAACGATTTACTTTTAGCTAAGGGTTGCAGAGTCGAGACTTAGCGCTAATTAAAACTCTGTATGTCAAATCCACCACGTTTTTGACGTATGCGAGTCAGACTCAGCCCTAAGACTTCTATCTCGAGTATATTGTATGTAAAGTTTAATGGGGTCGTAAGCGGTTATAAAATAGTATCTTTAATACATTTTTGTATAAAGACTAATAAGGCTAATGCACAAATTGTGCCAGAGCCATAAAGAGAAAAAAAAGACAAGGTGGAAACATACTACTAAAACGCCACGCGACGCAACGTGTCGACACCCGATGTCCATCGTGCACATTACCAACACGCGACACCACGACACACTTGCAAATTCAGAAGTCATTTAGCTGACAATTGACATTTGTGCCAAAAACTCGAACGTTTGACGCTTGGCGTCAACAACACGACAACACGCCGATCCAAATCGATTGGATGTTACCGCGTGTGATCACATGGCGTGTTGTCTATGTGCATCTGACCATATTAAATATATTGGATTGATAAGTACTGACATGCGTCGGATGGCGTGGTGTAGCGTCGCGTTTTGGTAGTATGTTTCCGCCTTAATAAACTGTGCTGTCACTTGTCACAAACTGCATGTGATAATAGACAGTTAGGAAATGTCAATTTATTTTTGAATTTACATGATAACGAGGGAGTGTCAAATTTAAATTTGTATTAATAACGAATTTTCGGTTGTTTGTGTAAACTGAAATGTGAATATTGTTTCAACTTTAATAAATTAACCAGCTGAGTCCTTAGTTAGTGAAGTGTTTTTAAATAATGATAGAATAGTATTAACGCGAAATTAGAAATGGATCAAGAAGAACCCCAGAGTATCAAAACTGATGCCGCGGCCGCGGCCAAGTGAGTGAAAATTGTAAATTAGACATAGTTTTAAAGAGCTTTCAGTTTATTCAGATTTCACAATTTTTCTACACTCTAAAATATAAAAAAGATGACAAATTTATTGAATTTTTAGAATTAAAATTAAAATTGAAATCTACCAGCACCGTAATTACCGTGCTCGTACTAAGTTGTACATTTGAATCAATCGCGTACAATAATGATTTAAATTAGTTCAAATCTTAAAGCACAGGAGACTATTCTAGCCCTAAAATATTGTTGTATGTTCTGAGTTGAGCTCTGTTTATACACTTTATTACCAATTTGTCTTAAATTTCAGAAGGAAGCGCAGGTCATCAATACTTAAAAGTCAAAGACCACCTCGAACTCCATTCTCTGAGCTTGAATTCAATGTTGCTACACCCACTGACACAACAAAGAGCCGTCGCGTCAGTTTCTCTAAAAGGACTGGTGTAGCGTAAGTTTTATATTATGCGTAAAGAGGGAATAGTATTTCTTGTACATTTTTATTATTTAATTTCAGTCAAAGGCACCAGCTAGTACCTTATATATTTCACTATTCTCTATTGTGATTCTTATAATAACATACCGAAAAGGTAAAATGCTTTTATAACATTATTATGATATAGTTTATGATAATCTATATAATGCTAATGTCTGCTTAAATTAAAAGTATTAAGTGACTTAATTTTGCATTTAGGGTGTTTTTGTTAGATTGTTATTATTGTTTGCTTCAGTTTTCTTAATTGAGGTCACACATTGTAGGCTTTTCATTCCATCCTGCCTTTGATAACTATATTTGTGTTTACTTCTTAAATAAGGTACGTTTGTAAGGCTGAATTTCTTTACAAGTTTACTGACTTATACTTTTTTTTATTATATTCCAGGGAATTTGTTACAAACGAAGCTACTACAACTTGGAAAAATTTCTATGAAGAACATAACAAGTCGCTAGAAACCTCGGGAAATGATGCTCAAAATGGTCAAAGACCTCAATCTATTGGTCAATTAGGTAGACATATTTTTGACCAACAGTTTGAAGAAGTTGAAGCTATAGATTTTGGAGGAACATTCCTCCCAACAGAAACACTGGCACAACAATTACATAACTCCCTAAATGTTAATATAACTCAGCAGCTGGCTGCATTAGAATGTACTGGGGAGAAACTTGCAATTCCACAACAAAACTTTGAGTTGAGTGAACTAACTGACCAGAGAAGCAAACTTTTTAATGATGAACTCACCATTCCAGCTATGGCAGAAATGTCAAACCAAATGAATTTTGACTTTTCTGCTATGCATAATAAATGTGATGATCTAGATGAAATTCAAAAAGATTTGAATAGAGTGCATCAAAATGTTGTTGGACCTGCTAATTTCGGGAATGTCTCTGAATATATAGAAGTTGACCTCAATATGACCAATGTTGGTGTAAGAAATGATGATGATATGTCTATAACTGAGACAGTTCATATCCCGAAAGTACAAGAAGTAGTGAAGTCAGCATCAAAGAAATCAATTACAACATTTAGTTTAGACGATAAAGAGAATATAGCTCTTAATCCATATGCACCAATTTGTGAAAGTGAAAATTTTGCGATAGAAGAAAAAAATGAAGTATTAGTTTTTGATGGCAAAAAATTAACTGTGCAGATTGAGAAAAAAAGTATTTGTGCACCTGTCTCTTTAGAATCACGACCAAGAAAGACAATAATACTTAATACAGATGATGATTTGCCTAATTTCATATCAGATCGAAATCCATGTTTAAAATTACAAGAAGTTGATCAACAAAACCTGGATGATGTGTCTAGATGTAGGACAACATTGTTTGAAGATAAATCCATGACCCAAGCTTTACCTGGTAAAGTTATAGAAGCTATACCTGTAAACATTGATCAGAATGAAGCACAAATTAACCCAGAAAGAGGAAGGACTATTATCTGCAATGACGACTGTAACATGTCTACAACTCAAGTTATATCTACAAAAATATACAATCAAGACCAAAAAGTAGTGCAGAATAATGCAGAAAGAAGAAGAACTATTGTCTATGGTAATGACTGTGATATATCTATGACACAAGCCCTGTCAAGTAATGTTATTATTGATGCCTACACTGCACAGGCAAACGAAAAGAGACAAACAATTGTCTTTGAAAATGATGGAGATTTATCATTAACACAGGCTGTTCCTAATATAAAAGTTATGCATAACAAAGAAAATCCTTCAGAGGCTAAGGTAGAAAAGAGACGAACTATTATTTTTGAAAATGATGAAGATTTATCATTAACACAGGCTGTTCCTACTATAGAAGTTATGCATAACAAAGAAAATCCTTCAGAGGCTAAGGTAGAAAAGAGACAAACTATTATTTTTGAAAGTGATGGAGATTTATCATTAACACAGAATATTCCAACTGTAGAAGTTATGCATAACAAAGAAAATCCTTCCGAGGCTAAGGTAGAAAAGAGACGAACTATTATTTTTGAAAATGATGGAGATTTATCATTAACACAGAATATTCCAACTGTAGAAGTTATGCATAACAAAGAAAATCCTTCCGAGGCTAAGGTAGAAAAGAGACGAACTATTATTTTTGAAAATGATGGAGATTTATCATTAACACAGAATATTCCAACTGTAGAAGTTATGCATAACAAAGAAAATCCTTCCGAGGCTAAGGTAGAAAAGAGACGAACTATTATTTTTGAAAATGATGGAGATTTATCATTAACACAGAATATTCCAACTGTAGAAGTTATGCATAACAAAGAAAATCCTTCCGAGGCTAAGGTAGAAAAGAGACGAACTATTATTTTTGAAAATGATGGAGATTTATCATTAACACAGAATATTCCAACTGTAGAAGTTATGCATAACAAAGAAAATCCTTCCGAGGCTAAGGTAGAAAAGAGACGAACTATTATTTTTGAAAATGATGGAGATTTATCATTAACACAGAATATTCCAACTGTAGAAGTTATGCATAACAAAGAAAATCCTTCCGAGGCTAAGGTAGAAAAGAGACGAACTATTATTTTTGAAAATGATGGAGATTTATCATTAACACAGGCTATTCCTACTATAGAAGTTATGAATAACAAAGAAAATCCTTCAGAAGCTAAGGTAGAAAAGAGACGAACTATTATTTTTGAAAACGATGGAGATTTATCTATCACACAAGCAATTCCTACAGATATCATAAATAATAAAGTACCAGTAGAAACTCAACCGGAAAGAAGGCGAACTGTAGTCTTTGATAATGACGGTGATATATCAATAACAGAAGCTCTCCCTACAAATATAGTTAATACCTTAAGCAGAGAAGGTTTAGCCAAGATTGAAGAAAAAATGAATACTATTGTGTATGAAAACGATGACATATCTACTATGCAAGCTGTGTCGAACCATTTATTAATGAATGCTAATAAATGTGAAACTACAAATAAAAGAAGAACTATTGTCTATGAAGATGATGGTGATATATCAATGACGCAAGCAGTTCCAGCAAAAATATATCAAAGTCACAATAATATAATAAAAACGGTTCCGAGTGAAATTCCTCCACCACAAATAGATAATTATACTCAAAATAAAACGCAGAATTATGAAGATTTGGATATTTCAGTTAATCAAACACGACCACAAAATATCCTGTCAAAGAGAAGAACAATTTGCAATGAAGATGACTTATCTATGACTCAAGCCATACCTTCAAACATGTTAAATAAAAATAAGACTGTTATGTATGACAACAATATGGATATATCTATTACTCAAACAATTCCACAGAGTGTCTTTATAGCCCAGATAGGAAAACAGACACCTCTTTCTACCAATGAGGTCACAAGAGATCAAACACAACCCGCACAAATACTTCCCAGAATTGAAAGTGCACTTTTACGGGAATGTCAATCTACAATTCAAAATGTAAACAATTTACAAGCAGAAGCTAAAAGAGACATTTGTGTTACCCAATCTGAAAATAAAATCACAGAAACTAAAATGGTAGAATTAAATAGCATGGTATTGCCAGAAATTTTGGTAGAAAATATGGACATATCGGACAATGTCCCTTCTCACCCTACGGACTTCAATATGTCAGTCGATGAACTTAAAATAGAAGAGAAACAATTTCAAAGTGAATTTAGTAAACCTATTAATGAGCCAGATAAACCTGTTTACGGTAATCTTTCACTTAATAAATCTATACCAAGTAATATCCTAACTCTAGAACAGAATGTGGAAAATAAACAAAGAAAATCACAACATTATCACGAATCTCTACGTGGCAACCAAGCTTTTGTTTATCAATCTATAACAAGTGTAAAAATTTCTGATCAAGAAGGGAATGGAAGTTCAAAAATACTTACAGAAAAGCCATCGAGAGAGTCTATCAAAGAAAACTTATCATTCATTAAGTCTGAGAATAACTTACGTCTAACGGACGTATGTGTACCTTTAGATATTACCGAGTCCATTGATAGAGATAAACAAATAGAAGAAATAAAATCAGATTTTGAAAAGCCGAAGGTTTGTGTTACTGGATCAATTTCATCTCAAATTTCAACAAAAACTAAGAAATCAATATTAAACGTATTGCTAGATATGTCGACTGGATCGGAAGAGTGTTTGGGTGACAAAAATATTAATGCCGTTCTAGAAAGTAGAAGTGACGACATAAAAGTCGTTCAAGATGTACACGAAGACATAAATATTGCTGAAATAAGATCGAGTGATGTATTCAGAATAACAAGAGGTAGTTTTGATGGACCGGAATTGGAAGAATTTAAAACAAAAACTGAAATTGAAGAGGCGCCTGCGATTAAGTTTGAAGAAAATGACGTTGATGATTTTAAGATCACATTGCAAACTTTAAAAACTATATCCAAAAATAGACATTACGAACAAGTGGTGAGCGAAGACATAGAAGAACCAGATTTGAATAAAACAAATACAAGAAAATCTTTTAAGAATGCGGACGATACACGGGAGTTATTACAAATGCTCTCTGAGTTCACTGATCGGCCAGCTCTGTCACCAACTATTGAAGAAGATATGTATTTAAAAGAAGAGGAAAAGTATGGAGAGACACAAACTGAGCCACGAAGAATTAGTTTTGCTGCTAACAGACGATCTATTGTTCTCAGCAAAGAAGAACTTTTTAATAACATTTCAATGGCTCAAGCTGCACTACAGGAATCGCGTTACCTAGACGATACTTTCGATGTAGCGACTGAGATGTCTAATGGAACAATAGATATTGAGGACAGAAACCAGAAATCTTTAAGAATAAGCAGTGATGTGGTTAAAGAGCTTAAATATGATGACACAGAAGATGATTTAGTGGTTTCGCCGTTGAAGAAAACTGCGTTCGGTGAAACAACTTATATGAACGAAAGTAAAGAAAAATCTAAAGTTATACCGACTTACGATGTTACAGATGGTATTAAAGAACTAATGAATGATTTGGTTAAGCCAATGGCTGATATTCTACCCTTCGAGGCTGGCAATTTAGATACATCAACGAAAAAATCACCGTCAACAATCAGTACACAAATACAAGCCAATCTTATAACTTCGAGTCAAATTGATATAGATGTTGAACTACAATCGACTCCAGATTCAGTTGCGGATATGGGTTCATCGTTGCTTAACAAAGTTGCTTCTCTGGGTAGTAAAGCGATAGCCAGCGTCTTCCCAGGACCAAAGTTAGATGATGAACAACCAGAAAAAACTAAATCTCCAAGAAATCGACCAAGTGTGCCAGGACACGTACTTGTGTTCGATCCCAGAAATCCATTAAACAATGTTATATTATCTACTAGGGATTACGAAAACGTTCACGCCTACAATCCTATAAGATCATCTGAAACGCTTCATTCTGAACGAGAACATTCCGTACAATTGACTGACTCTAACGAAGATAAGGGAAGGGTTGAAACACAATACAACGTTAACGTGTCTATCGCATCAGGTGACGCTGGCTCGCAAATCAATAGAAGCAATACGTCCATAAAGAGTAAACCACTATCTATAGATCGATCAGTGGAAATGAAACTGAACATAAGAGATAATGAAATTAACACGGAAATAGCTATGAAACCGAATTCAGAACTTTTGGACGCACATTCATCACTCACGTTGGTGGATGACGCGTTAGCACGGAGCACTTTTGAGGTCGACTTAGATACGCGCACAGAATCTGATGTTAAGACGCCGGTACGGGTTATATATGAAATGGATGAGAACGGATGTCTGTCGGAGAAGCTGGAATCGGATTTGACGTCAAACGAAGATGTAGAAGTCGATCATCCGAAGAAGCGCGGCCTCAGTCCCTGTGTGCCAAAAACAGATTTGACCCCAAAGCCGCGAAGTAAAATACAGAAAATGTCACGGACAAGAACAAGTCCAAAGAAACCGATAACCGTTCAGGAGATTATGACAGAGTTCAATATTACGAAGAGAGAACAAACAGCGATCGTGAAACAAGTGAATAAGGCTGTAGATTTTGAAATGAGAAGCGTGACGTCACACGAGAGTACGCAAAGTGCGAAATCAGAGCGGGAATACAGCAGTGACTCTTCGAGGATAGATTTCAGAAGCATTAGTGAACAAAGCTCTAAGAATATGTTCGAAGAGTGCGAATCCAGTACCAACGTTGTTGCAAAGATTGACATGTTGCCGTTTATGGGGTAAGTTTTCCAATTAAATTAGTGCTTATTAGATTGTTTCATTATTACATACATTTTCTGAACCAATAAGATTCAGGGCCTTTTGAGAAGAGGGTGTACTGATATCTAGAAGGCCACTATCGCTTTCGTGAGCCTTCTTTTATAGTCCAAGTTTACTTAACTTAATTAAAATCCCCCATATAGTGCAGAGGGCATCCAGCGTAGAACACCAGCCTGATCGCTCTTGAACAGCCCTTTTGACTTCACTCCAGGCCATTCTAGCTTTCTGCAATGATGCTTCGTAGTTCTTTCGCATCTGAACAGATGCTTCATTGTTATTTCGCCTGTGCAATGATGCTTCGTTGTTCTTTCGCCTATGCAATGATGCTTCGTTGTTCTTTCGCCTATGCAATGATTCTTGGTTGTTCTTTCGCCTCTGAACAGATGCTTCGTAATTCTTTCGCATCTGAACAGATGCTTCGTTGTTCTTTCGCCTGTGCAATGATGCTTCGTAGTTCTTTCGCATCTGAACAGATGCTTCATTATTCTTTCGCCTGTGCAATGATGCTTCGTTGTTCTTTCGCCTGTGCAATGATGCTTCGTTGTTCTTTCGCCTGTGCAATGATGCTTCGTAATTCTTTCGCATCTGAACAGATGCTTCGTTGTTCTTTCGCCTCTCCAATGTTCCTTGATAGTCCTTCGATTAACATTATCACTACCTGTGTTATTTTTAGAAGTCGTGACTGCGAGTGGGAAGCTACTTCCGGTGACATATGGACCTTCCTGTTGCTTCGATCGCGTGTAAGGGTGACTGTCAAACACGAACATAGTTATTTCAACGCGTCTAGAACGAGTGTGAGAGCTGATACCCCGGTTATGGCTGTGAATGTCGAAATGGTTAATAATGGTATGTATGTTGGAGTATTTAAAGACTATCTATGCGGAGATACACATGCGTAGGTCGGTTAGTAGGTACTCACACTAATGCAATTTCACTATACAGTATGTTTAAAAATATGACTTTTTTGCCAAGCTATATATTTTAGTCTACTCTGGTTTTAGTAAGGTTGGGTGGGTTGTAAAAAAAAGGGTGCGTGTACTTATGTACGGGGAAGTTATACTTCTTTGGCTTTCTTTATTTTTTTTAAATATAATTAATTAATAATTAATATTTAACGTTAACAATTTAATAATATTTAATATATTATTCAATTTTAATTAATATTAATAACAATTATTATTATTTTATTATATTATTAATTCAATTTAATAACTAGGTATGTTTCATAACCTTTTAACTAAGTAACAATAGGTCTTTGTGAAAAAACATTGCTAAATTTCTTTGAAAAAATAATTAAAACTCCTTTATTTGTTTAAAAGGTACTACAAATGTCATTATGGTCATTCAAAATTCTTGGCATAGCTGCTAACTTCACGCATATTCTATTTCTTTTTACTTGTAGATTGTCTTAATTCCTATCTCGCTCGCGCACGCTATAATCACACTGACAACTTTGTGTCTCAGGCGCATCGTAAAATTTCACTCTCATCAATTTTTCATAACGCGCCTAAAGAAATATAACTTCAATAAATAAAAATGTGTCAAATACATATAAATATTATGTGCATACGAGGGTGGATCCAAAAGTTCTAAGCCCGACCAAGAACGTAAAAGAGTAGTTTGTGTAAATAATTTTTCGACATAAGATACATCTAGCTCAACACACTTCACTCTTACTTCACTAACAATTCTTTCAATACTCCTCTTAGAAACACCAGTCGCAACTAATGTCAAATTAAAAATTACATTTTTTAAATTAAACTGCTTAAAATAATTTAAAACATTGTGCACCATTTCACGAGATTGTCCTAGTAATGTTAGGAGGAATATATTTCATAAGACATTTTTTTCAAAGTATTCTAACCTCCAACCAAATAAGTAAACAACCACAGACAAAATAATATTGAGAAAAAATATCAACATGTACAGTAAGGCCGTTTCTCCACTGCTCCGGTCCGGCAAACGTTAATTACCGATCCGATTTAGAAACTCACAACAGTACTTACGTGCTTCTCCACTACTCCGGCATCCGGTATTTAACGATCCGATAACTTGCCAGATCGGAACGAGGTGTTTTATCGGTCCAAGTATATCCAAGTATCCAAGAGGTTATAAGTTATTATTCACAGGTTTATTTATAGTTTCTTTAATTTGAAAGAATCTGGATAACCTGGACCAAACCAAATTATGTTGTTATTTATTTATATTTTTATACCATAGTTTATTTATTAGTGAACTATTTATTAAGTAGATTATAATATTTTACGATATTGTCTTGTATTTATATTGTCTAATATAAAAAAAGTTATAAACTTGGCAGGGCAATAAAATATTTAAAATTTAGAACGTTTTAATAACAAAATAAAGTATATGGGTTTTAGTTAATATAAGTGTTACATGATAAATATACAAGTATCGATTATTTTCGGATCGGATATAGTGGAGAAGCGCAATCCGGCCTTCCGATATTTTTCTTATGACTCATTCCGGTATCCTACGCCGGATCGGAGCAGTGGAGAAAGGGCCTAAAGATCAACATAAACAGTAGCAAAAGCAAAACAATAACTGTCTCTTTTATACTCATAAGCTTGACCGAGCGCGAGAGAGACAGACAGTCTTTTCATGATACATATTCAGTGTGACGTCACGCCTCGCGCTTATTCACAAGCACAAAGTGTAAATGTGTTGAAGCCGCCAGCTTTAGATAACATACCTATAGCATGTTCCCCGTTTGGTGACTTGGATTTTTTAAAGGATTTCTGCCTAATTGATAATTCTGATTGCTTCGTGACGTATTAACAATGAATTTTCAGATGAGAAAGACCCGCTTATCGCCCTATGCCTACGTCTAGCGACGCAATCCATGCGATACGAGTGCTCTCGTAAGTGTGCGACGGCGGGCGAAGTGCCGATGATGCTGAAGCGTTGCGTGTCTGTGTCTAAAACTGCTGTTCAGTGGTTGAAAGCCATGCGAGATGCTATGCTAAGGCTGGCCTTTCAGGTGGATAGGGACGGGTGTCTTACTTTAAAGGTAAGTTTAGTACATATGTGATAATGGTATGTTATTAAATAGTCTATGTACAGTGGATTTCGCGTATAACAACGAAGGAATCACTCTAATTTCGTCGTATTCGGAAGTTATTACAGGCAAAAGGTAAACATTCACTGGTACTTTTAAAAATATCCCTTACTGACCCATAAATTTAACTCCGAAACGTAAACTCTTACCTACCTACTTAACTGAAAAACCTAAAAAGTTTTCATTCCGGAAAACTGAACAGTCTCTGGGGTAGCATAGCAAAATGTTCCATGTTGGTATGAACTAAAAAGGTAGGCTAAGTAAAATCATATTAAGGAGAAACGAAGTTCGCGGGGTCACCCATAGATGTCGATTCTATCGTTTTAGTCGAGAACGACGCATTATTCAATTGAACATGACTAATTTAATAATAATAATCAGTGGAGCTACAATCTCTTTAGGTCTTGACCTCAGATTTCTGAATCTGTTTCATGATCAATTTTAAATCTAATAAGCAAGTAGGTGATCAGCCAGTGCCTGACACACACCGTCGACTTTTTGGGTCTAAGACATGTCGGTTTCCTCACGATGTTTTCCTTCACCGTTCGAGCGAATGTCAATGCGCATAGATAGAAAGTCCATTGGTGCACAGCCGGGGATCGAACCTACGACCTCAGGGATGAGTCGCACGCTGAAGCCACTAGACCAGCGCTGCTCTTGACTTGACTAATTTAGTTTTTATTAAATTAATATTATCTAAATGTTTAAATGAAAATACTTTGGACACTAATTCTATAATATCATCAGACGTATCATCTGACAGTTTCACATAAGAGATTGACGTCTGACAGATTGTCATGATTTGACAGGTGGCAAACATACGCCTCCGTTCCGTGTGGGAAGTCTCAATGCGTATAGAGCTGACAGTGGAAGACGCACACGAGACGGCGTGGCCATGCGCCAATTCCATTGGCATTTCGACGATCGTCGCCGATGTGGATGTGGCCGCGGATTCCTTGAATGGTTTAATTAAGAATGTGCCCCATGATTGGGGACATGTGCCGAGGACCATTTGGTAAGATATCATTTTTATTTTATATTATGTTAATCCAATTTCCTAAGTTAAAGTTAGGAAACAATTTCATTAAAATCGGTTGATTAGTTTTCTACATTTTTGTCGTTGTTAAGTACTGGAAAGTCGAAAGTAATATTAACAATAACTAACAATTAAATAAATATATTAATAACGCGTGATTCTATCCCTACCCCGCATCTTAACGTGTTACATGAGAAACACAAAAATTCGTTACATACTACGCTCCCTTATTGTTAAATCGGTATTTTATTTAAATTCTATATGATTTTTGTATTTATATTTGGCCTTAATCGAACCTCAGACCTCCTGACTAAACCATTCGATGTATGGCTTTTAAAATAAATAAAATTAAAAAAAAAACAACATGTGTACTTATGTACACGCGTTAGAAGTTATACTTCTTTGGCGCAACAAGATAAAAATCTTTTCAAAAATTTTATTCTTCGTTTGTATAAAAACGACACTAACAATAGAAAAAAGGTATTTAATACATTGAAATTATTATAACGCATTATCTAGTTAAATAAAGTTTATTTAAATATCACAAAAAATTATTTCTACATAATTAAAAAAATGAAGTTTTTTATATTTTGTCTATAGTTAACTGCAGGGTGTCGGTTTTTTGTGCGCGCGCGCATCGTAAAAATTTACTCTCAAAATTTTTCCCTAACGCGCCAAAAGAAGTATAACTTCTAAACCTCACACCGGGCGTATCCATTGCCACGTTTAGCCATGTTTCAGATATTTAAGAACCATTTTTCTCTTTCAGGAAACTCTTTAAGTACCTCAAAAATAAGCCGCGAGATGATGACTTCTACGGGATTAATATATTAAATATGGTTAAATAGTTTTATTTCCGCATTTTATAATCTGTGATTCATGAACGAAGACTGAACTCCTTATAACGTACCTAACCTCCATTAGTTGAAGATTTCAAAATGACAATAGCGTAAAAATTATCCATCTGTGAATCTCAATGTCCAACATAGTGTGACAGTTGACAGTTTTGACAAGCCGCCGCAGTTAACAATTGACAGGAGCAGACCGTAAATTCTTAAAGAAATTTGACAATTATTGGCAATAGAAATAACTTTGAATTTAGACAATTTAGGTTTTATCTAATTTATTAAATAAAGATTGACTTGCGTAGGTATATTAATTTCCTGTAATTTTTGAGCTACGGAAGTCAAAGTTTCGTTTCGGAATCTTGAGTCAAAACTCGGCAAGAACTAGCACTGTATTATGTCAAGATGTTTTGACATATGGAAGCGATAATAGGCGCCAAGTTACGACTAATTCCTTTATAATTTTGAATTTGAAACTAAAAAATCAATGTGAAAAATGTTTCAGTTCATAAACGCTGAAAAATGTCCCTGTTTCGCAGTTTTTTTTTTTATATTCACAGTTGAAATTTAAAAATATCTAAATAGCTTTTCCGAAGCGCCATTTCAAATGAAATATTCTATCTAATTTTGTCTCAGTGATTTTTAAACGTCGATTTTTTAAATATTTCGATAAAAAATGTAAAAAGGAAAATTTCAACATATAATAAATGTATTGTTCAGTTTTAAGGTTTTTCAATACTGTATTACTTTACAATTTTATTAAATATTGGTTGAATTATTGCGTTTTAATTACCTTTTGATTGTTTCTTATAATCTATGAATGGGTACAGAGTAGAAAAAGCCACTGTGACTTGTCTATTAACAGTGACTATGTTCTAAAGCAGAGATCCCCAAACTTTTTTGTGTCGTAGACCCCTTGCCGTGTTTCTCCGTGTTGGGTAGACCCCCTACTTACCTGATATTGATTTTCTGTATATTTCTAACTGTAGTGAAGTTTAGTGTTAAAAACTTAAAGTAAAAACACTGTTAATTTATACATTTATTAATTGAATTTAAATTAAAACTACTCAAAATAAAATGTTGTATCTGTTATGTAAAATATACGTAGCATTAAATAAACATAAAATAAAATAACATAAGCAATAAGTCAATATAATGTAAATGTTTTGATATTATAAGATAGTATGATGTAAGTAAATAGGCACTATCAGTGTATGTGTTGAGATCCACTATCGTGGACCCCCATTTTCATTTCATGGAAATTTTTTTTCGCTGACGTAGACCCCTTGCAGGTTGTCATAGACCCCTAGGGGTCGATATAGACCACTTTGGGAATCACTGTTCTAAAGCGTGTAGAATTTTTTTTAATAAATGTTACCTGGGTACAAGTCAATTGGCCGAAATCTTTGACATTGTTAACTTTTAATAATCTTGAGGAAAAATTAGCATCATGCAATATAGGTACATATATGCTGTACAGACAGACAAAAATGTGCCTTTTTTAATTTTATTATTTTTATTGTGCTTTACAATAGCCTCAATATCGCAAGATAGTAATAAAAATACAACATATTTTCTGGTGCAGCAAAGCGATAGCGTAGCGATCAAATAAGAATTGTTTTTTTATGTAATTACTAACACTAGTAATAAACTAGTCAGCTCCTTCCACTTGACCGTATTCAACGCAGAGCGGTTCGAATCGTCGACGACCAACTCCCGAGCGGCTTGATCCTTTGGCGTTGCGTAGAGATGTGGGGTCACTCTGCATCTTCTATCGCATTTACCATGGAGAGTGTTCAGAGGAGTTGTTCGGATTAATACCTGCAGCTGAGTTTCATCATCGGACGTCGAGGCAGAATACAATATACCATCCGTATCACCTCCACGTCCGCCGTGCCACAACTGAGCGTTTTTCAAGGCAGTTTTTGCCGCGCACCACCACTATGTGGAACCAGCTGCCCACTGAAGTATTTCCGAACCAATTCGACTTAGGGTCCTTCAGGAAAAGAGTGTACCAATTCTTAAAAGGCCGGCAACGCACTCGCGAGCCCTCTGGCATTGAGTGTCCATGGGCGGCGGTATCACTTAACATCAGGTGAGCCTGCTGCCCGTTTGCTCCCCGTTCTATAAAAAAAACGTTTTCTTTATCTAATATAGATTATTATTCTTTCCATTTAACGACAACTCTTTGTAACATAATATTCACGGCCCCTTGAGTGTGGTTATATATCAATCAATCAATCAAAACACGTTTATTCAGTTTAGATGCGTCTTAGGGCTTGCTTATGAATATCAAAAACGTTTACAAAATTCGCGAAAGAGCAAGACTACGCCATCCGTTCGCAAAATTACCAGGCCTTGTTCTGAGAAGAACGGGCAAGAAACTCAGCAAGTTTTACCTTCTACATTACAATTATTCAAAGGAAAATGTCATAAACCACAACGTCATTAATCTTACAAAAGTAAAAAAAATAAATCTGTTCTGTTATTTACCCCATTCACCATTATACACATATTAACGACACTTTAAAGATTACAAAACAAATTCGTTTTTGTCTTCCAGGTAGTGAGTAGTAACCTTTACACTATAAAGTTTACACTGTACTTCTAAGGTAAATGTCATATCAGAATGTGATTTTTGAGATATTTGTCGAGTGCGAAATAAAACAATTACGCAGGCGCCAGTTTATGTAATAAAACCAACAATGTTTTATAAAATTTGATTTTTAAAAGATGCAAGTTTTGTATTTCTAGTGCCATATATACACTTGCCATCCATTCGTTTCGTAGCAACAATTTCAACTATAGGCTGAGTGCTCAACGGTGATCCAAGGTTTTTGATATTATCATATGTTGAATTTGGGCGAATCACCTGAAAATTTTGCCTTATAAGATTATCGCGCTAAATATGTCTCCTGTCCAAAACCTTATGATATTTTTTTGAAATCCTCTTGCTTTATGCTACTCTTACTTCTACTAACAAATTATACATAGACACAAAATTAATAATCATTAAGAAGCTGTATAGGGGTTGATCAAGAATTACATAAGCAAAAGTAAGCAAAGCTCAGCTAAAGTAAGCAAAGCTCTCAAAAATAATAGCACATAAACGTATTAATTTTTTGAGAGAAAGATCGCCCCTCCCCCTATGGTACTTACATAATATTTGAACGGCCCCAATGGACCCGTTTTGAATACGCCTGCGATGTTTTTTTGGTAGATGGACACCAAGGCAGTAACAGCGTACGACGGTGAGGTGAAATATTTTACTTTTAATGTTTTTAACACAATTTTTTTCTTAAATAATAAGTATGTCGTGCAAACTTAAAAAATAAACGACCGTACTGTTAAATCTTACCCTTCCAAAGACAACATTGCGCAAATCCAATTGTGGTAATGCTTTAAACGTTATATTAAACACTCCGCACATCTCATCATTTTCTGTCACGCGCATAGACAATAGACCTGTAACAAAAAGTTTTTATACCTAAAAAAGATTATACAGAATTGGAACAAGTTTTATTTTTTAAATACGCTGTTGCATTACCAAATAAAGAACTCAAGGAAAAGGAATTATTGAAATCATTATTGAATAGTTTTATTTTTGAAGTTATACTTCTTTAGGCGCGTTATGAAAAATTTATGAGAGTGAAATTTTACAATGCGCGCGCACCCGTGACACAAAATTAGGAGTGTGATTATAGCGTGCGCGAGCGAGATAGGAATAAGACAATCTACAAGTAAAAAGAAATAGAATATGCGTGAAGTTCGTATGCCAAGAATTTTGAATGACCATAATGACATTTGTCATTTACCTTTTAAACAAATAAAGGAGTTTTGATTAATTTTTCAAAGAAATTTATTAATTTTATATTGTGCAATACTGCCAAAGCTACAACATACTTCTTAGTGTTTGGTAGAGATGTTCTAAATATATAATTATATATACTTTTAACTAAATAGAATTTATGTTACACTTAATGTAAGAGAATAATAATAAATAATTATTTATTTAATTTTTCAAATGTAAACTGAACTTAATTGACTATAATGACTCCTTTTCCAGTCTTTGATTATTTAATTGTAATTAATTATTTGCATGCAATCATAAACTATTTTTAATAATGCCAAAGAAGTATAACTTCTTACGCGCGTACATAAGTACACGCACCCTTTTTTTTAATGTAACGGGGCAAACAGGCAGGGGATCTGATGTTAAGTGATACCGCCCATAGACTCACATTGCCAGAGGACTTGCAAATCCGGCCTTTTAAGAATTGGAACTCTTAACTTGAAGTCGAATTGGTTCGGAAATACTTTAGTGGGCAGCTGGTTCCACATAGTGTTGGAGTGCGGCAAAAACTGCCTTAAAAAACGCTCAGTTGTGGAACGACGGCCGTCGTAATATGGAATTTCGTATCCTGTCTCGACGTCCGATGATGAAACACAGTTGCAAGTATTAATCCTAACACTACCTCTGAACACTCTCCATGGTAAATGCGGTAGAAGATGCAGAGAGACCCCACATCTCTACGCAACGCCAATTTAATATGTAAGTTAACAGGTTGGTGTTATTTCATCACTGAAGACGAGTTGAATTCCGGCTCTGTTAATATGTCTATGTACCCAATTAACTTCCGGTGAACGTAAGCAACCTAGTAAAGATAAAGAAAATGGGGACTGCCGCGGTAAAGCTATTGCATCTTTTTTAATTTTAAATTAACTTATGCAATTATAATTATTTATTTATGCAGTATTTTCTTGATATTAATTCAAGTTTTTTCTTTGATAAATTAATTCAATCTACCACTCTACCAGACTCAGACTAACTCGCCTATATAGTCTGTCTCACTCTAACGCGCACCGGCTGCACCGATCTCGTCAAAAAGATGTGAATACGCAGTATGCGTTCTGTCCCGCTCTAACGCGTAAGGTTTTTTTCGTTACGGAATTTCTGGATTCGGTCTCCACGCTCGAGGCCCGCGATAGAAACTATGCAATAAAAATTAATTCACGTCTCATGAAATCATTTTCATGTGATTAAAATGAATTGTGAGAAAAATAGTGCGTGGATGGACCGCGCGGAAGAAGTGAATCTTCGTAATGTGGAAATGAAAATAGGAAGGGGTAAAAATAGATTTCAGCTAATTTCACGACGCTCACTGTCTACTTCGCTGCAAGAATACCACGCGCATGTGATCTACCGGCTCACTCTCTTTCTCTCTCCTACTTTCTACCTTTGTGTATCTTTCTTTCTCTTTCTCTCTCCTACTTTCTACCTTTGTGTATCTTTCTTTCTCTTTCCCTCGTAAGTTGGAATATTGGTAAACTACGCGCATGCGTTTGAATGCCACGCATCCACTCTCGCTCTGTCTCTTTCTATTCCCCCTCCACGGTAGCGTTAAACGTTTAACGCAACCTTGTTGGAAGCCGCATTAGAAGTTTCACTTTAAAAAGTTAATTTTGCATCTACGTAGGAAGAAAAAAAATAATTAAACAGATGCAATGTGTTGTCAGGGCTCATTGTAGGGCCATTTTTGTCCCAATCAAGTTAAATACCTGGCATGGAGTGTGAAAAATGGTAGTTCTCAGCCCCGATCGGTTTATGTCTTCCCTTTTGCGCGTAACAGCCGAAACCATTGTTGTGGACTACGTCACCGCCGCTCCAGAATAAATTTGGTACTTTTCTGAAAATGAAATGTCGTTAATTGTCATCGTGACAGATGACGTCTGACAGCAAAGCTGATTATAGGTTTATAGTCCGGTCAATCTAGACCAAATAATATTTAAAAGTTTCACATCATTCCCGTGTATGGAATTTTTTGGAGTTTACTCCTTAAGAAACGATTTAAGTTATAAGGCCCGGTACGAAAATTTTATGAGGAGTAAAATCAAGTGTAACACGAAAAGTTAAGGCGTTATGTAGAAAGAGACAAACATAATATATATCTGTAGGATTGAACGTGTAAAAGAATGAGATGGAATACATTACACAGACTTTTCTATTTTGAATTCACGTTTTGACAGCCACGTTACAACATTGTCAGTATTGACAGGTGTAAAAAATAAAAGTAGATTGTCTAGCGTACCATAGAGTTTTGTCAATAGTAATGGTCAGTGAAATTAAAACTAAAAAGATTGTTCATTCTTATTCTTCTTCTCTTACCATAAAGGTAACTTTGGTCACAGAAAGAAAATCCTATTTGGGCATAGATGATGTAGGTACGTTTTATTACTACTACAAACATTTATATTATAAAAACATATATTCTTACCACCTGTATAAAAATATGGTCGACAGCCACAGAACATTATCGCCATTTTATCGTTTGTAACGAGTAAACTCCAATCGTGCGTCGTAGCTGACACACACACACTTTTTTTGATTCAATAACAAAAGTCAAAAAAGTAGGCCACAGTAAGTCAGCGTTCAGACATTATCTAATATATAAAATTCTCGTGTCACAGTGTTCGTTCCCATACTCCGCCGTAACAGCTCGACCGATCCTTATGAATTTTTTCATGCAGTTAGTCTGAGAATAGTCTACTATCTATCTTTCAAACCCCTAAGTGATAAGGGGTGTCCAAAGCAAAAAAAAAATTGTTTTATTTTAAGAAAATTTTTGTTTGTTTTTATTTTTTTATTGATACAGCATACAAAAATACATACAACCCCTAATTTTCACCCCTCTACGATTAACCCCTATTTTTTATTTGTTAATTTAAAACTTAAACTCCGAGGTTTATATAGAGAAAAATTCACAGAAAAACCTTAAAAGTTTTCATTCCGGAAAATCAAACAGTCCCAGTCTACCCCAGAGGGTAGCATAGCAAAATGTTCCGTGTTGGTATGTTCTAATAAGGCTAGGTAAAATCACATTAAGGAGAAACGAAGTTCGCGGGGCAGCTAGTTAATATAAAACAAAGTCGGATTCGTTTGAACACTTATAATTCGAGAACGGCTGGACCTTTTCATGGTTTTTTTATTTGTATCCCACATAGCACACACAAAAATCCAATATAAAATGTTCATAGACTTCGACGAAAAAAAAAAATAGTCAAATATTTCATGTTACGGTCGATACGGTAAACTCTTTCAAATTAAAAGGTTTAGAATCGAGAAAATATATCCACAGACAGTAAAGAAAAATGATTGATTGTATTGGTTGTCATTTGCATGCGTTCAGACGATAATTTCTTAATAAAGTAGTGAATTTATTTATTTTGTATCCATTGTATTGCTTTCATAAAATCTTAAATTAAGTTCAGTTAGTTAACCACGGCAAGTTAGGCGGTACGAAGTTCGCCTGGTTGTAATTGGCCTACTATATACTGAATGTCTTGCGGGAGGAGAACCACCCAAGTGTTCTCCAAGAACTCGGTTTCTTTGTACCGGGGATTGTGGTACATCAAAGCTACTTGCGATACCAAGGGCTAGAACCAGACTATTGCATAGTCCCCGTTACCAAGACCTTGCCTACTGAATGATGTTTACCTATCGACGATGTTCACAGAGTTCACAGTAGCGATATTTATTTATTTACACTTTGTTGCATTATAATATATATATAATTCTTCTGTGAGTGTGTATGTCACTGAACTCCTCTTAAACGGCTGGACCGATTTGAATGATTTTTTTTTTGTATACGTTTGGGTGGAGCCGTGGATGGTTTAGATTCACAAAACAGCCCGGCAGATGGCACTGCAGTCGGTACTTTCATACTTTGCTTAATATCCTAATCGCTTTAAATATCATGCAGGACAACGTCTGTGGGGTCCACTAGTTATAATATAAAAATTTAACATTACATGTAAAAGAAAGGCAACTGGCGGCCTTATCGCTTTCGAGCGATCCCTTCCGGGCAACCACTGTGGGAAACGAAAAAAAAATGTATTAAAATAGATAAGGTAGGCAAGAAGTGCAAAAATACATATATTACATATAGTTATTAAGAAAAAAAAGTAAACAGGAACAAAAAACAAACTAAACTAATAAAGGATATATGAAAAAAAATTAGTAAAACGTAAAAAGTGCACATGAATCATAATATATTTTTTTTTTTTTTTTAAAGACAATTTACACCAATTGACCTAGCCCCATGCTAAGCTGGTGAAGCTTGTGTTATGGGTACTAGGCAACGGATATACATACATATTATAGATAGATAGACGTATAAATACATATTTAAACACCCAAGACCTAAGCACAACACCAATTGCTCATCACATCGATGTTCGTCTCAGCCGGGGATCGAACCCGGGACCCATGGATTCGCAGCCAGGGGTACTAACCACTACACCAATGAGAAATAATTTAATTTAAGATCAGTCTCACGTCCAGTATATATTGTGTCTACCTATCTTATGTATTTAATATTATATATTTTTCGACATTATCGTATTGGCTTAGTATGTAAGGATTATGTTTATATTTCTGTAAGAAATAAATAAATTATAATGTTCTTATACCTATTATTCAATCGTAGCCATTCAGTATACAGGTTTTTGATACTTTTTGTGTACGTGACCCGCTTTGGCGCATGCGCGGTGGCAATTGCTTGTATTGATTTTATCACTAAGTGGGTTTCACATACTGCAAGGACTCGTTAGAAATAAAAAGCCAACTGACTAAAAAGTCTTTATTGACCTTGCCTCGAAGTCGACGGAGTCTCCAGTCTTTCAGAAAACTGATTCACTGCCATGCAATATTTCTCCGAATGATATGTTCTAGATATTTGTGATAATAAGGGATTCCCATGAGGGGAATTCAGCCACAGTGACGCATTACCCGTCTGCCCCACCATGGCTATAAATGCTATCAACATTCGTGTGTTCAAGAGCCCTCTCTGTATTTGCGGTTGTTTGAGTAGCGTCTCCAGAATATGCCCATCAGGGAGACCGTTCATTAGTTCAAAAACACTGGATCCCCTTTCACCAATCAACCAAGACGCCGCTGCTGGAACATTGCTACCCGTATAGCGTAGAGCGGTCTCTGCATCTTCCAAAGAAAATCCAAGGTCTTTTAAAGATACCAATGCTTCAGGATTGGGCGGCTCCATGATTTTCGTTCTCCAAGCCCGGAATTTATCCAGAAACCGCTGCAAATGCTCTGCGCGTCGATAGGTTTCGTCACAATTCGATGCCAACGATGTATTCCCGTCTTCACAGGAGTTGAACCTTGCTGCAATCTCCTCAGGTGTTATTACCTGAACCGTGAACTGCTGGTTACGCTGTGGTTCGTCCAAAGCAGCTGATAACTGAGCTAATGTCAGTTCGTAGCTTCTACCAGCTGCTGCTAGCCTTGCTCCAGCTTCTATTAAAGATATGAGAATTTTTCGCAGCTCAAACGAGAGTTCGTTTGTTGATAGTAGAGATTGTAGGTTTGGCTGTCTCATTGGGTTTAGTGGGGTCGGTAAAGAGGCTGTTGCAGCTGCTATGGCGCTTGGTTGTGGTGCTCTTACTGATCCAAGATCCCATAGGGTTCCAGCTTCAGGTGTCCGTCGTTCGATCAGTAATAATTCGTCGAACATAGCTACCTGCTCCTGTGTCAGCGTGAGAAAGTCATGTAGTGTTGTTGTATCAGAAACTCTGACGATTTTAAACCTGCTAGAGCTGTTTTCGCCGTTAGGATAGAAGTAATCGATGGATCGGTTCTTTACTTCCTCAATTAGCGTGTCTTCCGCGAAGTATGAGGAGAAGACCTGACCCTCGGGGCCGACAATTTTAACAAATATATCAGAATTTCCATTTAAACCTGACTCCGACACTAGCATCGCCGCCTTCGTCCAGATCGATAACTTTAATTAAAATAAGTATAAGGAATAGAAAAATGCTTGTGAAAAACGCAATTAAAAACCATATTAATTTGTACATTGTAACGTCATCTTGACAAGTGTGTTTGACAGGCAGACAATAAACATTTGTGAAAAGTTTTTAATAATGAATTTTTGTGGCTGATAATTTAGATTTTGGCGAGTATTTTTTTTTACTCACGAGGCTCACCAGATGTTAAGTAAGCCGCCCATGGACACTCTCAATGCCAGAGGGCTCGCGAGTGCGTTGCCGGCCTTTTAAGAATTGGTACGCTCTTTTCTTGAAGAAATCCCACTGATACTGTGTAGTGGGTGATTGGTTGCCTGGAAGAGATCGCTCGAAAGCGATAAGGCCGCCAGTTGCTCTCCTTTTCATTTAATCACGTCAATTGTATTTATTTATTTAATAACACGACGTTCCAGAAACAAAATACAATTGACTGGCCACTTTCTCTAATCTTGTGAAAATACACGAAATTTGTTAATAATATGATTTTGGTACATTTTAATTATATCATACCTGAAAAACCTCGTCCCCACATACCCATATCCAAGGCCATCACCGTCTAAAAGGTCCAAAAACAGGGAACACGTTTGGGGGCAAACATCAGTGAACAACTCCACTTCAAGAGAACCCATTGCAGCGGCGTTGCGTATACCAAGTGTTATATGAATTCTGAAAATATATCTGTAAGATTACTAAGACAAACTTACTTGCAGCAGTGTTGGCCTAGTGGCTTCAGCATGCGACTCTCATACCTGAGGTCGTAGGTTCGATCCCCGGCTGTGCACCAATAGACTTTCTTTCTATGTGCGCATTCAACATTTGCTCGAACGGTGAAGGAAAACATCGTGAGGGAACCGACATGTCTTAGACCCAAAAAGTCGACGGCGTGAAGCTGATCACCTACTTGCCTATTAGATTAACAAATGATCATGAAACAGATTCAGAAATCTGAGGCCAAGACTTAAAGAGGTTGTAGCGTTTGAACGCGTGCGTTTTAAATTGCGTTCATAGAATCTATTGATGCACAACTGAGATTCGAATACACGACCTTAGCCAACATAAAAAATTAACTATAGAATCTCTGCCTCCGGCAATGTACCAGCCATGATGGCAAGCGACCGGCTTTTGATCCCTTGGAGGATGGGACGGGCTTGTTAGCATGCTACTTGTGTGGATACGTTAGCCTCGTCTCACTTCTCTCGGACAAGCACAAAATCTGACGCGGCTGTGGCCGCAGGCAGAAATTAATAAAAAAACAAAATTTTCTTCTTGATTTTGTCCCCTTTGGAGTAGATACAAGAGTATCTACTCCAAAGGCTTTACAGCGTGCGTGGTCACGGTGACCTTTGGGTGAAAGCACGCGAAACGTCGGATAAATTTAAAATTATGTTAAATAGTTGTAAATTTATAATAATACATAACTTCAATCCGGTCAAAATAGTGTTTTATTAAATGAATAAAAGTTATGTTAATCAAAGACAATAAATTGTAAATAGTGTATATTTGATTGTTATGATTACTAATAAACGATAATATTATTACGTAATCAAATTAATATTAATTATAATGTTTTAATAGAATAATATTTTTTTTCCAAAAGTACAAGTTTTCCAAGTTTAGTTGTTCGGATTAATACCTGCAGCTGAGTTGCATCATCGGACGTCGAGGCAGAATACGAAATTCCACCCGTATCACCTCGACGTCCGCGTTCCACAACTGAGCGTTTTTCAAGGCAGTTTTTGCCGCGCACCACCACTTTGTGGAATCAGCTGCCCACTGAAGTATTTCCGAACCAATTCGACTTAGGGTCCTTCAAGAAAAGGGCGTACCAATTCTTAAAAGGCCAGCAACGCACTCGCGAGCCCTCGGGCAGGTGAGCCTCCTGCCCGTTTGCCCCCCGTTCTATAAAAAAAAAAACATTAAGCCGATTTTCAAAACTCTAGTGGGAAGATTTTTGAATGTTTTTGGTAAATTATTATAAACCCCATATAACCCTAACTTTCGTATTAACTAAATGACGTGAGACTAATCTTAAATTAAATTATCATGATTCATGTGCACTTTTTACTTTTCATGTATCCTTTAGTTTATTTTTTTCTTAATAATTATATGTAATATGTATTTTTGCACTTCTTGCCTACATTATCTAATTTAATACATTTTTTCTTCTCATAGTGGTTGCCTGGAAAAGATCGCTCGAAAGCGATAAGGCCGTCAGTTGCTTTCATTTAATTATGTTAAATATTTATATTGTAATGCAACGAAGTGTTTATAAATAAAATAAATAAATAAACCTCGATTGCGATAGTTTCTAATGTTCGACGGGTTTATTTTTTAGGGTTTTTATGAACATACCTGGGCCGTGAAACACCATGAGCAAAAGCCGGGTCCTCAATGTCCTCCGTATGTTTTAAGGGGAATAAAATGAATTCCCTTTGAGCACAATGTGCAATAGTTTTCTTATTATAATACCAATCTTTGTTTAATGATGCTGTTTCATCTACCCGTGGTTTCTGAAAAATTCGTTTACTACTTAAACGTCATCTTAGTGCTCTATGGAAGAAAAAAACTATCTTAATATATATAAATTACGTGTCACGTTGTTTGTCCGCTATGGACCCCTAAACTACTAAACCGATTTCAATCAAAAAAACTTGGCGATAAAAAAGATTGATTTGAGAACAGCCCTGCGATTCTGTAACTCACTTTTCGAACTCACACAGCGGTTTTCGCATCGGCGGTCGCTCTCAAATCAGTCGTGAAGCAGTCATTTTATGATTTGGCATTCTGAAAAGGTGTAGTTTGTAGTTTATTGCTTATCAGAGTGCCAAATCATAAAATGACTGCTTCACGACTGATTTGAGAGCGACCGCCGATGCGAAAACCGCTGTGTGAGTTCGAAAAGTGAGTTACAGAATCGCAGGGCTGGCAGTAAAATAAGACGCATTTAATGTATATTTCTTTTTGACGTTCATAAGTGTACATTGTGTTACCTAAATGAATAAATGATTTTGACTTTTGACTTTTCGGAGGACAAGACTCACTTGGGTCGCTGCACCGAAGTAAATAAGTAAGTAAGCAAGCATATACATACAGTTCCAAGTAATCGCCGATAAATCTGTGCGTTTTCTTCACGAATATTTTTATATGAATTTAGTCTTCGCTCATAATACTGTCGGCAAGATGGCGGCCATTTCGTCCAATGACTGTCCACTCGTCCCTGAAAAATATCACATATATGTCAATGAAATACAATAGTTTTTGAAGTTATACTTCTTTATTAATATATTACAAATAAAAAAATAACAGAAAAGCAATAAATAACCTATATTATTAAAAGGTTCCGAAGATACTGGCAGCGTTCACCCTTTGAATAGACTAATTCTTTGTCCGAGGTAGCTGCCAGCTCTTCGGTCCTCTGTGATGTCGACTATCCTTTTTGCTATTTCCTTGAAATGCTCTATAGCACTAGCCCCCCACGGACCATTAACTCTTACCACCATTCCGTTGGTAAATCTTAGGATTTACATTAATGGCACGGTAAATGTTGAAAAACAAAAATAAATATTAAGTTAGACTAGTTTATGTAAGCATTATGTTTGTATTTCGTTGTTAAATTCCGAATAGAGAACTACTGATTCAGTTAGATAGATATGATAGAGATTGAGACATTCAGAGATATACGTTATGTGTTTTTTAAAATAATTTAAATAAGTTGGTATTGGTTTGTACTTATTACAATCATATGATACCTTTATAATACTATGTACCTGTTTTGTCTAATAGTACATTAAAGTAAATAATTAAGAATTACTTATTGTTTTATTCCTAAAACCAACATCTACCAGCTGACAGTGGTAAAACCTAGCATATACTGAATTCGAATGGTAAACGCTCGAAAAAATCGTCGTATTTTCAGAAATATTATACGTAGTCGGTCCCAAAGTTCTGTCATAAATGGAAATAATGATAAAAACAAAAGTACTGCCCTGCGATTCTGTAACTCACTTTTCGAACTCACACAGCGGTTTTCGCATCGGCGGTCGCTCTGAAATCATTCGTGAAGCAGTCATTTCATGATTTGGCATTCTAATAAACAATAAACTACAAGCTCCCACCTTTTCAGAATGTCAAATCATAAAATGACTGCTTCACGACTGATTTGAGAGCTACCGCCGATGCGAAAACCGCTGTGTGAGTTCGAAAAGTGAGTTACAGAATCGCAGGGCTGATCAGTTTGTAATGAGTGATATATCAATTCTTAGTACATTAATTAAGGAATAAAAAAAGCATAAAAATATTCGAAATAACCTCCCTCATTTTTAATACAGGCCCTTAAGCGTCGCGGCCAGTCGTCTATCGCAGCACGCACCATATTCGTGTCGATTTCAGTCACTGTTTTTTTTAAAGATGACTTCAGATTCTCCAAATTTTCATGAGGTTTATCACAGACCTTCCTCTCTAAGCCCTGTCATAATTTCTGGTCCAAAGGATTAAGGTCCGGACTGGAGGAAGGCCAATCCTCATGTCTAATTAAGACGATGTTTTGACGCTCAAACCAGGCTTTAGTGGTCTTGGCTTTGTATGCAGACGCAGAGTCCTGCTGGAACACGAAGTGATGTCCCGCAAATAGGGTGCTGGACATGTCTTTGACAAGGCGATACAAAACCGTCTCTTGGTACACTGTAGCACTGGTTTTGACCCCCTTTTCGAAAAAATTAACCTCAGTTAGCCCGTAATAGGACACTCCCAACCAAACCATTACTGATGATGGATGATGTCCATGTTGCACCCTTGGAACTTTATTTTCAGCTTCTTCAGAACTCCTAGCGTACACTGTATAATTCTGTTTATTGTACTTCTCTTCAATATCGAAAAAATTTTCGTCCGTAAAGAGGATATCACGGTGTCGGTTTTTCGCGTACCGCTTAAACAACACCCGCGATCTCTTAAGCCTTATTGCTTTTAGACGAGCATTAAGTAAGTGCCCACTCTTTTTTGTATGCTCGTAGACCAAGATCTTCATTTAAAACCTTTTTTACTGTTTTCCTACTGACACCCATCTGCAAATCCATCAACTTCTGTTTTCGGACAGGATTTCTTACTATCCGCGCCTTGATAGCTTTGATTACTGCTGGTGTTCTTGCGGAGCGTGGCCAGCCAGTTCTTTTCTTGTCCTCAACACTGGAGACTTCAAGTACCGTACACAAACCTAAGCGTTATATTCAAATTTTTGAGCAACTTGAAAATGGTACTCGGCGAGTGTCCACAGCGGTGCAACGCAATAACAACTATTCGGTTTACTTTCAATGTCCACTCCATCGTGAAAAATTACGGAAAGTTATTGTTTTTTGTTTTAAAACAATAATCAAACATTCCAAAATAGAATGCAATAATTTTTTTATAAAATCCTGCTCGAAATGTAGAAATAATGTGCTAGTGACAGAACTTTGGGACCAACTACGTACATTTACCAACTCATGTCGGTAAATCCTAAGACTTACACTTAAATCTTAAGATTAACCGAATTTCATATTCGTTTGAAACACATTTTTCACGTAATAAACAACATATTTATGTGTCTTTGGAAAATGAATAGCATATTCAACTGCAGACCACGGTCTAGAGTTCGGTTCCCCAGTGGATCGAAATAAAAAACATAATTTTGATAAATAAATCGTTTATAAGATAAATAAATATTGATTAATTAAAAAACCCGCACAATCAGTTATTAAAATAGACATGCAAATGTTATATTAATTATCATAATAATACAATAAGAACAGTTATTTATAACAGTTGTCCCTCTTTCAACTCAAAATATCTTTATTCATATAGGTAAACAAGTACACTTGTGAACGTAAAAAAAGAGTTAAATTAATTGTAAATTTACATTTACTACCAGTTCGCAAGTCACGGGCGTAGAGTGGGCAAGAAGAACTGGCAATAGTAGGGGAGCCCAAGAGGGGATTTCGGGATTTACTAAAGCGCGGCAGATTACTATATAGGGGGATACCTTGTACCCGGTTAAGTACCTCCACAAAATATGAGGCCCATATATAAGGCCGCGCGTGAAGGAGACAGGATCAGATTAGTAAAAAAAAATTGACCATCAGAAATTCCCGAGCGCGTCAGATTAAGGTAGGGTGAGTTAATTACATCCTAAAAGTGTATATTCCACTAATCTGACAATTTGAGAGTGACGGAAAAAAGGGGAGGGCAACAAAGTTGTAAAAAAAACGTCATCTCGACATTCTCGAGCGTAGCTAATTTTTCTTTTATTTTGAAGGAAATAATTCCAGAATAATGAAAAATATATAATCTGACGATTTCCGCAAGCCGAAATAACAAAAATTCGTCGATAAAGTTAAATGCGTGCAGCTGCGTGATGCCTACATTTCCTTAAACCGATCGGAATCTACTAAACGGCGTTCAAAATATTTCCCTCAAAATTACATTTCCTGTGAATTTGAACCGATTCGGACCGATAGATTTTGAGAAATTTTGAAAAATCTTAAAAAAATAAGAAATATTTTTTTTTAAGTGGTTTCTTTATCGATCAACTTCAAAAACTAATCCGCCTTTGAGCTTGAAAAACCACGTCGATCGCCACCAAGCTGGTCAAAAGCGGTTGATTCGTTCGAGAGATATCGTACATGAAAGAAACCCGAAAAAGTGTTTTTTCGGGATTACTCGAAAATTTGTGGTTCGATCAATTAAAATTGCAAAATTACTTATGAGAATGATAAAACTGCGTCGAATGCCGCCAACCGCGTGAAAATTGCTTGATCCATTCAAAAGTTATTGCGGTTTGAAAATTCCAAAAATAGTGTTCTATGAAACTTCTATCAGACTTTCGAGCTGGGAGAGCTCAAATGCATAGAAATGTTATTTCTTTGAACTCAGCGAGCTCAAAATATCAATTTTAAGCGCCCAGGAATGGAATTAGCGGGAAGTTGCAGGGATGGCCCTTTAGGTGAACCGTTTTTCTATTTTTTTTTGTTCAGATCAGGCGAATCCCTCTAGATAATCGTCAGATTATGAGACAGTACGTTTAGAACATAAAGATGAACCACATATATCTTAATCTGACGCGCTTGAGTATTTCAAAATTGCGATTTTTTTTGCAAATTAAGAAAATGGCTGTGGGTTTGCGTCCCATCGAAATCGTCAGATTAGTGAATGAGAGATTTTTTTTGGTGCACTTAACACTCCCTTAGAAAATCTGACGCGCTCGATAAATTTTTTTTTTTTAATTTTCAACCCTTAAATACAACCACCCGCATCATGCAAACGATCAGATTAACATACGTACATTATTAAAAATACGTAGGGCATAGATGCTATCAATATCTGACGCGCTCGAGGATGTCCATGCAACAGTTTTTTTTTTACATATTTAACTATCTATAGCCGCTTCCCCCACCGATGAAAAGGAATTTATCATATAACATTTTTTTCTTCTTTTTATCTAAGCTTTGTATCCCAATAGGTCTCTACGACGCTCGAGTAAATCCCCATTTAGCATCGTGGGCTCCCCTACCACAAGAAACTTTTTTTTATATAGGAACATTGCCTTTAAAAATCTAAATAAAAAAATACAGTGAATAACGCTGGCATTATTTTTATTATTACTATGGTTTTATTAATTGTAAATACTATATATTTGATTGTTATGTCTAGGTTTTAATACACAATAAAAAAAATGAATCTATTGTTAGCTAAATATCTAGAATCTTAAAACTCCCATATGATTCGGACATCCTTAGCGTTATTATTAAACAAAAGTCTACTTTCTGAATAGTCTACATTTGACTTTTGTCTATGCCTACTTGCGTATCTCCTACATGCCCAGTCTAAATAAAGGCTGAATTGGCTATAAGAAAACGTTTATTACCTTCTTATGCGCCCTCTGTATGGACATTACAAGTGATATATTCTCGTTGTATAGATTAACAGCGTCGCTGACGAAACCTGGCATCTTTCTCTTTAGTCTTTGGGCGTCGTATTTTGGCGGGATACTGTCAACTTTGCCTGACGTTTTGCATGTTGGGCGCTAATAATACAAGATTATGAATTTCTCTCATAGATTAATTATGTAAACAAATAACCAAAAATGAAATACAGATTTAGATGCAAGACCCCAGAGTAATGTGGGGTCTATGGACCTTCTACCGCAATTACGACTATTTTAATTTTCTTTTTATTAATTTTTAATTATTTTTATTATTACTTTGTAGGTTAGGAAAATTGTAAACACTGTGTACGAGGCAATACATTTTGATCACTCAGGCTTTCGTAGTTTTATAAGCGTGACGATTTCCTATGCACGTGCAATGGCTGTACATTTTTATCACTTATTAGCGTGACGATTAAGGAAATCGTCGGAGTCACGCCCCGAGAGTATAGCCAGACGCAGATACTCTCTTCGACTGTTAAATGTCATTCATTCGTTACATAGCAATTAACATTTCAATATTTCGCTCTATATTATATATTCTACTAGCAGACCGGCCAAGTGTTGCTGTGGCTAAGGTTTTTGTTATATTACATAGTAGTAAACTATTCAAGGGAAACGGCGGAGAGAGGATTGGTGGTCATACCATTAAATTGTAGCTTATGTGAAACGTTGGTACTTTCAACACAGCGCCATCTTTTAGAATTGTGACTATTAAATAATAAACAAATATTTTGCAATAAAATAATATTGCGGGTATAAATTGAGATGTAAGCTATCTTATCTTTTAAGTTAGATCAAACTACACACGGTGTGCAAATTTGATTGATATCGGTTCGGTAGTTTAGGAGTCCATAGCGGACAAACAACGTGACACGTAATTTATATATATTAAGATTGTTATACGCGAATGGTTAATATAGAGTAAAACAAAAATCTTCTATTATTTAAAGCACCGATGACTGAGGAACCGTACATACTGTATATTTTATTGTTCTATTTAAGTTTTAATAACGATAATATCAATGTAGATATATATCCATGTACAAAGCTTATATTACCTATGATTACCAACCTGTGATGATTTAGTAATGAGGAAAGATATTAAGATTTCGTTTAGTGAAATGAAATGATACTCAAAGCAGCGTCCCAGATTCCAGTGTGAATACCGTAAAAGCCCTATCAATTTCTGTCTTACTATATAATACTTTGAATACTTACGAACTTCTTTTTTTTCTTAAGAATTATGTTTGTTTCTGGCGGAGGCGAAGGATACTTTTCGCTTTTCGATTGCGCCTTTAAAATTGCTTTTAATAGAGTCATCACGATAATTTTGAGAAATAATCTATATGGCTTTGATAGGTTAAAACATCAGTCATCCAAAATTGGTGACGTAAAGATATTTAACCGTTTCTCAATAAATATACAGCCATAAATAATTCTTCAATTTGTTCCTGTATTGTAGTATGTTCTTAATTTTCAAAATATTAATGTACGCCACGTTCAAAACTAAAATGATTTTACACTTAGAACGATATTACAGTGATGCCAACTACAGAATGTTCCCCTAGGACATCGATTAAAATATCGGTTTTTGTAGTACATTTGGTTTGATCAAATAAAAATCGTATAAAATAGCCAGAATTTCGATCTTGGAGCTTTTTGATACTTTAGTTATAGCCACGAGCTATGTATCCTAACATAAGCAAAGTTACATATATATATTTTAGTAAATAATTAGAAGCGCAAACCAAATGGTAGACTCATAAATTGTGATACAATATTCTTATTACCGGTAATGTCCAAAAAGGTCGACTTCACTTGTATTCAAACTCAAAAATCTTTATTCATGTTGGTTGTGAAACGGACGTCGAGGTGATAGTGTGGAATAGCGATGGAACAGGTATATTTTAATAAAAAACAAATTTCACACGAAAAATTTTATTACTAAAAACACACAATGATTACATTAATACATGGATTATAATTCAGATTAATTATTATTAATACTTTAAGATATTTATTATAGAAAATACATTAAATACCTTCTACTAAAAACTACCTTCTAGCCTCAGACTCGTTCAATTGTTTCGTAATCATTTTTCTAATAGGCGGTGATCAGCCTTCAGTGCCAGATATGAAAATTTCCTCACGATGTTTTCTTTCACCGTACGTGTTAACTTCTTACATGAAAAGTCCATTGGTTCACGGACCTCTGCCGACTCGACCTTCGAGGCCAACACTGGTGGTACTTTGTAAAGGTTTTTTTAGTTTTTCCTTGTTAAGTCCAGATCCCGGGTTCCTACGACCTCAGATCAGGGGCGTCAAGGACGTTGAATTAATCCGAGTATTTTAAAAAGACAAATACTTATTGTAAAATAAGCAATAAAACTCAAATAAAAAACTTAGGAATGTGACTAGCATTTATAATGAGATCTAGATAATACATAATACAATACAATAATAAAAAAACAGCATAATACTCTATCTACCGCCTCTGATAATGTATTACATACGCTGTGATAAAAAAAACAACGGTGATTATGGAATATGCACTAAAAATATATTTTCGTCTAATTAACAGCATAAGTATGCAACTCTAACCAAGTGGATTGTGAAACAAACGTTAAATGCGAAAAATAGTTTGGGGTGTAACACAGGGTGAAATATTATGTCCTCGACTTTTCAATCTCTATGTCAATGGCCTAATTAAACTTTATAGGAATAGTGTCGTTGTGGGCTGTTCAATAGACTGCACAATTGTCAATAGTATTAATTCATTAATTAATTATTATATTAACGACAAATTTAAACCGTTAATAGTGCGTACATTTAACGAGAAATCCCAACTAGGTAGATATTTCAGCCGTTATTTAAATTTTGACAAAAGTTTTACGACTCTTTCAAAGTTCAAGTTCAAAATCATCAGAATCTTTCGAATTATTAACCAGACCTCTTACTTCGCAGAACAGAATTCTATTCAGAGCTTGGTGCGTTGTTAAACTTTTTTTTAATATTGAAGTTCGGGTTCAACATTTTCGGAACATATTGGCAAACGTTTTTTTTTTGACAATTCACACCAATTGACCAAGTTCCATGCTAAGCTGGTGAAGCTTGTGTTATGGGTACTAGGCAACGGATATACATACAAATTATAGATAGATATACATATTTAAACACCCAAGATCTAAGCACAACACCAAATGCTCATCACATCTATGTTCGTCTCAGCCTCGGATCGAACCCGGGACCCATGGATTCGCAGTCAGGGGTACTAACCACTAGACCAATGAGCCGTTTTCCAATATGTTCCGAAAAAGTTGATTTTAATAAGTTTTTTTTGTAAATTTTATGTTAGCGATACATTCAGTACATTAGTAACTATAGGTGCAATTTAAGAGCTTTAATGCCGTTGTCTCAGAGCTGTATGGGGTCTTGGAACTGCTGATAGTGGTCTCGCCAGACGAGTGCCCGAACGAGCTACAGCTGAATAGGAGAGGTAGCGCTCCGATAGGTCTGGGGGCTCGATCTAGACACAAAATTTATTCATTACTTCCTTATTTCCTTATTTAATACTAATACAGTTAGAGCAGTGTTGGCCTAGTGGCTTCAGCATGCGACTCTCATACCTGAGGTCGTAGGTTCGATCCTCGGCTGTGCACCAATCGACTATCTTTCTATGTGCGCATTTAACATTTCCTCGAACGGTGAAGGAAAACATCGTGAGGAAACCGACATGTCTTAGACCCAAAAAGTCGACGCGTTGTGTCACTAGGCTGATCACCTACTTGCCTATTGGATTTAAAGATGATCATGAAACAGATTCAGAAATCTGAGGCCAAGACCTAAAGAGGTTGTAGCACCACTAATTTTATTTATTTTTATTAATACTAATACATTAACCTTTTTATAATTAACTAGCTGTTGTTTTGCCATGTATATTATTTCTAGGAAACATTTTTTTAGTTCAATAAAACTATCTACTATAATAAAAAAGGGGTTGATTGTAGAGGGGTGAAAATTAGGGGCTGTATGTATTTTTGTATGTTGTATCATAAAAAAATAAAAATTGTCTAAAAAATAAAAATTTTGGGGTGGACCCTTAACATTTAGGGTTTTGAAAGTTAGATTGTAGCCGATTCTCAGACTACTGAATATGCACAAAATTCATAAGAAGTACCTTCTCTAGCACTAGTCCCAGGCCCTTTTATCAACTAGATAATCGTTGACTTTATAGTAAGCCTTTTTACACAGCTTTTCTTTAATACATTTCTTAAATTTATTGAAAGGCAGTGATAAAAGAGCCTCTGGGATTTTATTAAAGAAGAGTATCCCTTTCCCCAAAAAAGAATTACTAACTTTAGATAGTCTAGTACGGGGAAATTGCAGCCTGCGTTTGTTCCGTGTATTAACATTGTTGGTATGTTCTATTCTAGTAAACTTATCACTATTTTTGTATCTAATATATAAAATTCTCGTGTCACAGTTTTCGTTGCCATACTCCTCCGAAACGGCTCGACCGATTCTCATGAAATTTTGTGTGCTTATTGTGTATGTCTGAGAATCGGACAAAACCTATTTTTCATCCCCCTAAATGTTAAAGGTAGTCAACCCCTAAATTTTTTTTTATTTTTAGATATTTTTTACTGTTTTTATTTTTTTATGATACAGCATTAAAAATACATACAAACCCCTAACTTTCACCCCTCTACGATCAACCCCTATTTTTTAATTATAAATGATATACATATATGGCAAAACGACGTTTGCCCGGTCAGCTAGTACATACATAATATTTTCATAAATATATGTTGTATGTTGTCACTAAATTACTTACATGTGCGTGACGTTTCTCAATGTGCGTGAGATGCGGCGCCATATTGTTTCCCGTGTACGCGACGCATTTGACTTGCCATTCGCCAAGTTGCTCGTTCCAATGTACGTACTGGTCGATTAATGCCTGAAAAAGAATTTTTAAGAATTGTACTTATTTATTTACACTTCGTTACATACATTTATAGAAAAACAAATAACATGCGGGCGGATGTCGTTTTCATATCTCGCATTGTTAATTAGAGAATTATGACTTAATAAATTCATTCAGTTTTTGAAGTTATACTTCTTTAGGCGCGTTATGAAAAATTGATTGAAATTTAACGATGCGCGCGCACCGTGACACAAAACTTAACAGAATGAAGTTGCCCACGGAAGATGCTACGGCATTGGACATAATTTAAAAACAACATTCGAATAATAATAGAATTTATGTTACATTTAATGTAAGAGAATAATAATAAATATTTATTTATTTAATTTTTTACATGTAAACTGAACTTTATTGACTAAAATGACTCCTTTTCCAGTCTTTGATTATTTAATTGTAATTAATTATTTGCATGCAATCAAAAACTATTTTTAATAATGCCAGAGAAGTATAACTTCTTACGCGCGTACATAAGTACACGCACCCTTTTTTTATAAATTTGACGACTATTTAAATGATCGTAATCCTTGGGATTAATTTGCTCCAGTTCAAACAATTTGTATGACTCAAAATTTGGCGATTAAAAAGTGGCGGAAAGTTTCTTGCCAGTTCTTCGTGCCCGCTCTACGCCCTTGACTTGCGAACTGTATTCCGGTCATTTTAGACATTCGAAGTTTCCTATTTAATGTGAAACTAAGGGGCCTCATAGCCTAGCGGTCTTATTAAGTGGCAGCTAGGTGAGGGGTACCGGGTTCGATTCCCGGTTCGAGGGCAAGTTTTAATTTAATTTAAATTTGTTCTCGGCCTTTGGGAGGGTTGTGCGGTACCGGACGAGTGCTTAAACCGTACATGGAGGACACTGTCGAATTTCTAAGGCAAAAAACACGAATTATAAAAATCTTATACTTGACGCTGGCTAATGCACAAACCGTGCCAGAGACATAAAAAAAAAAGTGAAACTATTGTCTCAGGTTAATTTATGATAAAACTTACCGTTTTGCGGAAAATCGCGAAAAAATTTTTTTGACGTTTGACATTGAATAAAAAAAATCCATACACGGGAATGATGGGGAACTTTTAAATAATATTTATAATTATGTTTTGAACAATTTTACTAATTTTCAGCTTCTTGGGACTTTATGTACCATCACTCTCATTTTTTGGTCTAGATTGACCGGACTACTGATAGTAAATGTACATTTAGAATCAATTTAACATATGTTCTGTTGACGTTCATAAGTGTACTTGGTTACCTATATGAATAAAGTTATTTTGAGTTTAGCAGACGTCTTTGATGGGATAGAGTATACAAACCTGATACTCCTTAGGTATATAAGAGTCAAGGACTAAGTCAGCGAGCTGCAACTCCCTCTTCAGAGCTCTGATCCCGTCCAGGATTCCCTCCATCTCCCTCTGCTGTTCACGTTGTTGGTCAGCTAATTCAGCCTAAATTACGGTCATTTCATATCAATTGAGGTGGTACTCTTGGAAACCAAAATACTTGGAGAATAGAGTGTTTTTATGTAATAGGAGGCAAACACAGACACTCGCACTGTCAAAAGGCTCGCAAGCGCGCTGCCGACCTTTAAAGATTTGGTACACTCTTTTCTTGATGGAGCCTAAGTCGAATTGGTTCGGAAATACTTCAGAGGGCTCGCGAGTGCGTTGCCGACCTTTTAAGATTTGGTACACTCTTTTCTTGAAGGAGCCTAAGCCGAATTGGTTCGGAAATACTTCAGTGGGCAGATGGTTTCACATAGTGGTGGTGGGCAGAAACTGTTGTGGTACAACGCAATGTAATATGGATGTGGTGGTTGGGATTCGTACGCAAACATCTCGTACGCTCTTGATTTGAGACGCTTAGATAAATTTTTATCACATACAAAAGTTATTGCATTAAGAAATGATTTAGGGAGCGTTCAAGTATTACGTAACGCAATTTTTGGAGATTATTGACCCCCCCATGTAACTCGCCGTAACGTTTTTCAGTACCCAAGTACAGTAAAACGTTTTGTGACCACCTAGTGGCTCTTTAGTTACTATTATGTGGTGTAAGTAGAAAATAATATTAACAATAACGCGTAATTTAATCCCCGCCCCGCATCGTTTCACAAAAGGACCCCCCCTCCCAAAATACGTTACGTAATACTTGAATGCTCCCTTAGGAACTAAATACAAATTATTTATTTATTCGTAAAAGGTTGACAACGCACACGAGAGCCCTCTGTCAATGGGTATCACATGTCCAAACCAATACGTGTTTGACATACGGAAGTAAGAATTTTTACCTTTGCTGAATTAAGTAATTGCACAGCGCGTTTAAGTTTTCTGGTCTTCGCGGCATTTTCTTCTTGGAGAGTCGAGTATCGTTCTTCCAGGTCCAACCTTTCCGCCTGGAAAATAATTTAATAACTCCGTTTATGCTGAACATAGAATTTTTTTTAATATTTTGGAAATCAATTTAGCCTTCTCTGGAATAATGCATTGTTGAAAGAATTTGATTGCTCCGGTAGTTTTAGTGTTCATTACAAACGCTCTCACCGCTTTACGATAATAGTACAGTAGTCGTACAGCAGTCGCAGTATAGGGATTCCCCTATAACGCGTTTAGCGTATAACGCGATATCAGCGCCCATATAACGCGGTATATCGCTCTTATAACGTAAAGATTTCTCAAGTTATATTTCTATAGTGTGACATTTATAATAACGATTTCCAATATGTTATAAAATTAAACTAAATACCTTTAGTATTTATTTCTAGTATTCGAGTTTTAAAAAAAACCTACAACGCGATTTCCTAAAACGCGGTCCGGGTCTACCGCGTTATAGTTGGAATACTGTATTGGGTAAAATGATTATTCTCTTATAATTCCAGTTCAAAAACAAATTCTCCTGAATTTCCACATACGAAAAAAGCAACAACTGCGCTCTCTATAGACAAATCGACGACTCGTAGAAATTACGACTTGTATTTTGGTTATGGAAACGTTTAGTTAATTGCTAAAGAACATGAGTTATAAGTCTGATTTTGTTTCAATTACCGTCGAACTTGCCAAAAATAATACTGCGAAAATATTATACCTCTTTCTTCTGCAGGTCTTCTTGCAGACGTAGCTCGATCAGCTTCCTCTGTTCCAGCTCTTTGGAGGCCTGTTCCAGAAGTTTCCGTTGCGTATCAGCTTTGTCGAGAAGATTTTCACCTCCCACCAACACCTTCGACTCCAGACGTTGCAACTTATCTTTCAACTCTTCTTGCTGTCTCCTGAATATACGAAAATACTTTAATCTATCTAATTCTTGGATTAAAAGACCATTGTTCAGTGTATTAATATGTAACAAAAGCGTAACTTAGATACAAATTAAATTATTTTCCACCCAGGATGGAAAACTATTAGCAGCACTAAAAATTACTAGCAGACCGGCCAAGCGTTGTGGCTAAGGTTTTAGTTATATTACATAGTAGTAAACTATTCAAGGGAAACGGTAGGAGAACACCAGTCATGGGGACCACCATGCTTTTTTGGTGGTTATGCCATTAAATTGTAGCTTATTTGAAACGTTGGTACTTTCAACACAGCGCCATCTGTTAGAATTGTATCAAATAATAAACAAATATTTGCAATAAAATAATATTGCGAGTATAAATTGAGATGTAAGCTATCCTATCTTTTAAGTTGGGTCAAACTACACACGGTGTGCAAATCATTGATTGATATCGGTTCGGTAGTTTAGAAGTCCATAGCGGACAATCAACGTGACACGTAATGTATACATATTAAGATTTGTTGTTTACATATTATGACACATGGTGACACAAAACAAATGGTGACTTTCACCAGTATAATACTCGAAACGGAACAAATCTAAGCGTACGACCAACCAGGCTCCAGAAGATAAACCACTCCTTATATGGAAATTGTATTCGTTTTTACTACTCCGGAAATATCCTCATGATGATGAGCGAGTCGGAGCCCACTGACCGGTGGGACCCAGTCTCAATCTCTAGTTCGCACCTGGCTCTCTTACTAGCAAGTCAACCGCCGCCACCTGGGCTTGTGTATGTCAAAACCAGACAGAAAACAAACAATCTTTCTGTCTCTCTATCCAACTAGTCTAAGACAATAAGAGATATGTTTTACATACTTGGTCTTTTGTAGCTCTGCTTTCTTCTCCTCCAGCACTTTTCTGGCCTGATGTGCCATCTCTCTCTTGGCTTGTTCCTAAAATATAAAAATAAAATAAATCAGTCAACCTTTTTAGATCTTGGCCTCAAATTTCTGTATCTGTTTCATGACCATTTGTATGTTAGGTAAGTTCAGCCTCCTGTGCCTGACACACACCATGGACTTCTTGGGTCCAACGTTTTCCTCGCGATGTTTTCCTTCACCGCACGAGGGAATTAAATTAAAAATTAAAATAAATTATATTATATTATATTATATTATATTATATTATATTATATTATATTATATTATATTATATTATATTATATTATATTATATTATATTATATTATATTATATTATATTATATTATATTATATTATATTATATTATATTATATTATATTATATTATATTATATTATATTATATTATATTATATTATATTATATTATATTATATTATATTATATTATATTATATTATATTATATTATATTATATTATATTATATTATATTATATTATATTATATTTATTTTCTGCAACCTGTAAGACGGCTGAAAAAGTTTTCCCTTATTTCTTGTATTCCTATTGTGAATGTCGCTGTTCTTTAAAAGAGAACTAATATTACTACGCACAAAAACGATACAGTTGTAAATATATTGGGAAGGTACCGTCAAAATATCGATTTCCTTGAACAAATTTCTAAGTGAAGTGCCTGGTTTCAAGCAATAAATTGACCTAATAGCACGTTTTTGCAAGATAAAAATAGATTGTATATCTGCTGCTTTGCCCCATAAAAGAATTCCATACGACATAACGCTGTGAAAGTAACTAAAATATACTATTCTGGCAGTTTCCTCGTCTGTGAGTTGCCTAATTTTCCTAATAGCGTATGCCGCAGAACTAAGCTTGTCAGAAAGTTTAGTGATATGCTGACTCCATTGAAGTTTTTGGTCTATTGTAATGCCCAGAAATACCGTAGAATCAACTAAATTTAGTTTTTCATTGTTCAGTTTAAGCTCTATAGTTGTAGTTTTAACATTAGGTAAAGTAAATCTTATGCATTTTGTTTTTGTGGCATTTAACTGTAAATTATTTGCAGAAAACCAGCACACTATTTTAGAAAGTGCATTGTTCACATCGTCAAAATTTGTCTTATATCTATTTACTTTATAATATTATATATAATACAAATTATGATATAAATCACGTTCATAATCAAAAATAAAACATAACACAATATTCACAAACAATAAAAGAAAGCGTACCTTCTCCTCTTTCCTGATCTTTCTCTTAATCTTCTTCTCTTCTGGATCCAGGACATCCAGCTCGGGATCTGTGAGGGTGTCTTCCGTATCTTCCGAGAGTTCTTCTTCGCCTTCGCCTTCCACATCTAGAAAACGCCTTTGCTATTAGTAACTTGATATATGAGCATGGAATTATTTTACTACATACAGAGACTCCTCATATATACACACACAACAGCTCCTTATTATAATTGATACATTGGTATGAACACAAAGTATTAAATACATTTTGGTAGCAGTGTTGGCTCTGACTCAGTTTTTTTTTTTTTTTTTTTATCTTAGGTAGCATACTCACTGCTTGCCTTAGAAATTCGACCGTGCCCTTTTAAGCACTCGCCCGGTACCGCACAACCCTCCCAAAGGCCGAGAACAAATTTAAATTAAAACTTGCCCTCGAACCGGGAAACGAACCCGGTACCCCTCACCTAGCTGCCACTTAATAAGACCGCTAGGCTATGAGGCCCTTCGACTCAGATTTTTAATTCCGTAGAATTCTGACAGCTATAATTTTTTCAATACGAGTCTGAACATCTAACTTTAATACATACATTTTATTTGTTAGTGAATGTATCCATTTTATTCAGTGCGGTGCTCCACATTAAAAGTGGTTTAATGGCGATTGATAATTACGTCCCTTTTCATCACAAACAGTAAAAAACGCAAAAATAAAGATAACATTTTATTTTTCTTAAAAGATTTACTAAACCAGGAATTAGTAGGCAATAATGCCAGCTAAAGAATGAAATAAAGTAATTAAAGTTAACTCGATATATTGTTCGTGATATATTAGGTCACTTGAGTAATAAATATTTAGATTTACCGTTTTGTAGGTAAAACATAAAAAATACGTAGCATTTTTTTATTGCCCTCATCAAATGGGTTAAATTTGTCCCTTTTTCGGTAAAGAACTTTTTTAGTAGCAACACTTATGAAATGTCAGAATTCTACGGAATGAAAAATCAGATTATAGTGGCTTGCTGCACATGCTTTCCTACACCGGAGCAAATGCGCTCAAGTTCATAGGTCCAGCCCAGACACGAGTTCCACGCTGAAGGCACAAAATCGCTCATTTCTTGAGTAATTTTATTTTTTTTCCTCTCTCTTTGTTTGTATTTCTTAACTATTAAAGATATAAGGAATTAAATTTGTACTGTAGCCCTTTAGACACCAAGGTAAAACCCTTGTTTTTGGGTCTTATCCTTTGTAGTTTATATATATTAAGCGATAATAAATAAAAACATATTTTCAAAATATTTAAAAAAAAATTACGAATGAAAAATTCTCTCACCAATAACAGACTCTTCTAGTTGTTTCTTCAGCTGATCGATTTCTTGTTGGAACCTGAAAATTTACAAATATATACAATATAATAATAACAAATAATAAAGCAAGCTGTGCCTGACTGTACGAATGAGAATTACTTTTTGAAGTGAAACTTCTTAGGCGCATGAGGGTAACATTTTTACGGAACGTCACGAAGATGTGCAACGTTTTTGTCGAAAGGGAGAGAGCGATTGAGAGAGTGTGAAGGGAGATTTACCTTACAGAAATTCTATTATGAAATTTTAGTAATTTATTGAAATCTAAAATGACGAATTGTAAATTAAAATGCCACGTGTTTTAAGTATCGAAGAAATAAATTAAATTTATAATTTGTATTAATTTTCGACACTTTTAATATTTTAATGACAATTAAATTCATTAAATTCCTAAGATATCTTCCTTTTTCCCTCCCTCTAAGTCTCGGAAATCTAAAGTTTTAGATTTGTATAAATATGAACAAAAATTAAAAATTAGTTTACCAAAGAAGTATAACTTCTAACGCGTGTACATAAGTATTCACATTAGTACATTTTGATTTTATTGGGTCATGTGTGCTTTATTATCTAATACATATATAAAATTCTCGTGTCGCGGTGTTTGTAGTAAAACTCCTCCGAAACGGCTTGACCGATTCTCATGAAATTTTGTGTGCATATTGGGTATAACTGAGAATCGGACAACTATTTTTCTTCCCCCTAAATGTTAAGGGTAGTCCACCCCTAATTTTTTTTTAATTTATAGATAAAAAAAAATATTTTTTATTTATTTATGATACAGTATTAAAAATACATACAACCCCTAATTTTCACCCCTCTACGAGCAACCCCTATTTTTTATTTTAAATGATATACATGGCAAAACGACGTTTGCCAGGTCAGCTAGTATAGATAATATAGCCTTCTCAACACGTATCGGTTTCCTTACGATGTTTTTATGAGCGTATGCGCATATAAATTCTCTCTCTTTTTTATAATATTAGTAAATTCTCACTTTGTAAGCAAAGCGTCTCCAGGCTCGCTATTGACGTGCGTTTTATTTTCAATGTTCTTCGCTCTGTTTGCGTATCGAAGCGTGCTGATCGTCTCCACGTAGTTCGTGTCTGATGGGCCTATAGTCGCAATCTGGAAAAAAAATAAAGCTTTTGGCTTTGTATCTTTCCCCTTTTATCACCGACTTTCGTGAAATTTTGTGAGCATATCGGTTAGGTCTGGAAATAGGACATTTATTTTTCATCCCCCAAAATTTAATAGTCCTATTTTTATTTATTTTCTAGACCAAATTTTCGACCCTAAGTCGAATTGGTTCTTTTAATTTAAGATAGAAAGTTAATACGTTCGTTAATTCTACATCAGTCAGTTTTTTCTAATAGCAACAAATGGGTGATCAGAGCCTTCTGTGCCTGATACACGTCGACTAAAATGATTCCCTCACCATAACAGTCTTTGAGTTCCCTCCAAGCGAGTCCTGTAGGAGTCGAGTCAGTTTGCTGTTCCGATATGGAATATGCGTGGACTTGCCATCTACCAGGGCAGATATCACATTACCAAGAACCGATAGTGATTGGTTAATCTTCGTTGCTTCTTTCAGCCGAGTGCCGGTCGCCTGGGTTTTGCTTTGACGCTCTGAGCCCTGAAAAATAGAAGTGATATTCAGTCGGGAAATAGTCAAGTCAAGTCAAATCATTAATTGCAATTAGACCACCTAAAATGGCACCTTTGAACGTGAAATGAAATATAAAGAAAATTCTAGTTGCCCCTTCCAAAAGGTAGTTTCGTGTGGGCAAGAAACTCCACACTTAGGCCGTTTCTCCACTGCTCCGGTCCGGCAAACGTTAATTACCGATCCGATTTAGAAACTCACAACAGTACTTACGTGCTTCTCCACTACTCCGGCATCCGGCTTATAACGATCCGATAACTTGCTAGTTCGGAACACGGTGTTTTATCGGTCTAAGTATATCCAAGTATCCAAGAGGTTATAAATTATTATTCACAGGTTTATTTATAGTTTCTTTAACTTGAAAGAATCTGGATAACATGGACCAAACCAAATATGTTGCTATTTATTTATATTTTTATACCATCGTATTAGTGAACTAGTTATTAAGTAGATTATAATATTAAAAAAGTAATAAACTTGCCAAGGCAATAAAATATTCAGAGTTTAGGACGTTTTATTAATAAAATAAAGTATATGGGTTTTAGTTAAGTGTTGCATGATAAATATACAAGTATCGATTATTGTCGGATCGGATATAGTGGAGAAGCGCAATCCGGCCTTCCGATATTTTTCTCATGACTCATTCCGGTATCCGACGCCGGACCGGAGCAGTGGAGAAAGGGCCTTACTCTTTTAAAATAGGTTTACAATATTTTGTATACATTAAAATATAAACGGAACCAACAACCTATTAAACCAAAGAATGTGACAGCATCTTGGCAAAGACATGCCAAGATGAGTATAAAACTGGGACCATAAAAGGAGACCGATGAAAAAAAAAGAGTGGCGGAGAGTTTATTGCCAGTTCTTCTCTTCCGTTCTACGCCCTTGATTTTAGAACTGGCTGTAAATGTAAAATTAGAAGCATTAAATGTATATTTCTTTTTTTGACGTTCATAAGTGTATATTGTGTTACCTACATCAATAAATTTTTGACTTTTGAAAATCCTCGCAGACTTTGAGATGTGAAGTTATCGTAGTATGCTGCGGATCAAATTGACAAAGAAACAAACGAAGTAACAAAGGAAAGAAGGAAAGTCTCATATCTTGGCCACATCTTCCATAACCAGCAGTATCACATCTGGGTTGGCAATACACACATTACATGCACGATGACTGACAAATGCGTGCACTGACTTGACAGGTCCACTCAATCTGTGTGGTTCTTTCCTCAAAAGACCATTTCAGACTGTAATCTACATGGTCTTCACATAATCTTGTTATGTCTGGACATTAAAAGAGACTGTGACCTCTGAGTTTGTTTTGGCGTTTCTTCTCAGAGTAGTCAGATAGGAAACGTCGAACTCATCTAGTTTAAAAAAAAAAATGGTGCGTGTACTTATGTACGCGCGTAAGAAGTTATACTTATTTGGCTTTCTTTATTTTTTTAAAATATTAAATAATTAATAACAAATTTTAACGTTAATAATTTAATAATATTTAGTATATTATTCAATTATTTATTAATATTATAAAAATTATTATTTTATTATATTATTAATTCAATTTAATAACTAGGTATATTTCAAAACCTTTTAACTAAGTAACAATAGGTCTTTGTGAAAAAGCATTGCTAAATTTCTTTGAAAAAATTATTAAAACTCCTTTATTTGTTTAAAAGATACTACAAATGTCATTATGGTCATTCAAAATTCTTGGCATAGCTGCTAACGTCACGCATATTCTATTTCTTTTTACTTGTAGATTGTCTTATTCCCATCTCGCTCGCGCACGCTCGGCGCCCATACTGATAATTTTGTGTCACGGTGCGCGCGCATCGTAAAATTTCACTCTCATAAATTTTTCATAACGCGCCTAAAGAAGTATAACTTCAAAAAATATGATTGACGTGTAAAAGTGTTTGTACAAACCTACTTACAGAAAATAAATCATTTATCAATAAAAAAAAGAAGGAATTCGAAGTTCTCCTGGCTTTTAGTGATTGAAGAGCTACCGTAAGAGATCCCATCCAATAGGAAATATATTTTCAAACCATTACAAACTAAATATACCGATTATTATGTACTTTGGGCAGGTCTGAGGTCATATCGTTTAAGTGGTCGTCGCAAATTTTTGAAGTGAAACTTCTTTACTTCCAACACTAACAAATAAACTCAGATGTTCAGACTCGTATTGAAATTGAAAAACGTGCCCGGCCAAAAAGGTTTGCCATCTCTGGCATGTCATAATGATAGCTGTCAGAATTCTACGGAATTAAAAATTAGAGTATAAGTGTGGAAACTGAGTCCACCAACCATACCGTACATTGCGGATTCCAATCAAGCGCCTGATTGGGGATCTAATTGGAATCAGTTCATAGTGGCCTATCAAATTCCACTTGCGTCTATCTTTGATCTGTGATAACTCACCGCTAAATCAACAAGATGCAGCTTCCCCATCTTCACGTGCATCTTTCCATCTGCGCCCTTCTTACTGCTCTCCACTGTAATGGAGAAAATTGCGTGCGACCGAGAACTCTCAATGTTCATAGCCGTGGCCCCGATGTGTCGGTTCTTATTACCGACCGCCATTATCTTTTCCAGCTCATCGGAGTTGTTGACCACGTAACCTGGAAGAGGAAATATTTGTTTTAATAAAAAAAGAAGATGTGGAATATAAATTGCCCATTTTTGATTATGATTCTTTATGATTATACGTTAATTGACAGAAATATCAAAATCTTTATGAAATTTTTTATGCATATTCAGTAAGTCTGAGAATCGGCTACTATCTTTCAAACCCCTAAGGGGTGTCCACGCCAAAAAAAAATATTTTTAATTTTTTTATGATACAACATATAAAAGTACATACAACCCCTAATTTTTACCCCTCTACGATCAACCCCTATTTTTTATTATATCATATAGTTATTTTTATTAACTTAAATAAAAAAATGTTTCTTAGAAATAACATACATGGCAAAACCACGTTTGTCGGGTCAGCTAGTTTATTTTTAAGAGTTCGTTGCAAAAATCTGCACCTGCTAATTACTTAAGAGAATGTCCGAAATATTGATGAAAAGCAGTTAAAAGAACATTTAAATACCCGTGAGATCCTTAACAAAGACACCGATATCTGGCCGCTCTTTGACCTCCAAGCTCTGGTGCGGGTTGTTGCCAAGTAGGTCACGCACTTCCTCGTTGTAAATCTCCAAATATGTCACGCATACTAGGAATCTGAAGAAAAAATATTTTACTGGACCTCACGATGTTTTCGATTTGAGTGACTTTGAAGTGTGGACGCAGTTTCAGCACTTATCGCGAGAAAACCGGCTTGCCTCAGACACAAACAATCGACGGCGTATGTCATGTGGAACAGGGGTCTTGTTAGGTCTAGGGCTAAAACGGTTGTAGCATTAAAGTTTATTTTTTATATTTTAATAAGCACATTCAAACCCTTTATAAACTCCAAACTAAACAGCGCTGTTTAACTAGCGGCCTGAAAGAACCGTAGCGTTTGTAACAACATTTAATAAACTGACTAATGCTTAGGCAATTCGTACGATAGAGTGATCACGTGGCATAAATAAAAGAGATGAAACATCCGACATAATTTTTCTTTAAAAATGACATTGCTTGAGTCAGTCACAGCTAAATTCACATTATCACTGTGACTACACTCTTCCATTGTACTTGTTGTTTTTCATAAAACTTTGGAAAACACCATCAAAGTTGTGGTTTGCCGACGCCATATTGACAATTTGAAGATTTTCGTTTCGAGTTTGAGAGTGGAGCTAAATTTAAATTACCAGTCAACGGGCAAGTAATAAAACATCATCGATTCAAGTCATTGTTAGATAAACTGGCTCAATATCTTTGAGGCCGCTAGTTAAACGGCGGTGTTTAGTTAAAAGGCTAGGCTGTAAATTGAACGGCTTATTAATCTAGTTGGCTGCGACATTTAAATAAACTTACTTCTCATCATCCTTTGCTTTAGCAATATGGCTGAATATATGTGCGAATGAGTTCGGAATAATGCCCCGCAACTCTGGGGCGGAATTACTCCCCGCCATTGTGTACGTTTTGCCCGTGCCCGTCTGCCCGTAGGCAAATATCGTGCCATTGTAACCTTTGAGTACTTCCTCCACAATCGGACTTGCTGTTTGAAGATAGATGTCCATCTGTAAAAGATATTTTGAGCGTTGTTTAAAAGGGAATTAAGGCATCACCTTCTGCAGTTCCACAGAACATTATCGGAGTGCAATCTATAGAAGACTTAAAGGCAGGCAACTGAACGGCGATGGTCAAGACTCAAGAGATGAGATTCAACGATTCAAAAAAAATAAAAAAAATCAGTGCAACCTTTTTAGATCTGGGTCTCAGATTTCTGTATGTTTCATGATCATATGTCAACCTAATAGGCAAGTAGGTAATCAGCCTCTTGTGACACACGCCGTCGACTTTTTGGGTCTTAGACAAGCCACCGAGAAAATGTTAAAGAAAGTCCATTGGTTGCTGGGAATCGAAGCTACGACCTTTGGGATGATAGCAGCCACTAGGCCAATACTGCTGCAACGAGTGCATCATCGTCTATAATTCGCTTAGCCCGCCTATTACCTACGCCTCGTTTTATAACCGGAAGTAATACGGATGCGGTAGTTATGATAAAGAGTCGGGAGGCGTCCAGTATCGATCAAAATTACTGACCTATTTCTCTTTTCATAAATCAGCTATGTAGGTCCGCTGTGCCTCGCGGTTTGATCTTATGTATTTGGTGGCACGTATATAAGACTGAGCATAAAGACATTTTCGATTCGAATCTGTTCCTGAGATATGCGTGTACAAACACTTATTGCACGTCTCATTGGCGGAGCGGAGGCAGTGCTCTACTCTCGACATGTCAAAAAACCCAGTCTTTAGAAACTTGAATGACTTTTTTCTCACTAATATAACACTTACAGGATAATATGAGTGCACTAAAATCGAGTTAAATAATCTATCAAGCACATATGGTATTTTTATGAACAATTATTTTGTTTAAAATAGTAAATAATAATGTTAAAATCAATCATTCTTGGACGTCCGCCAGTCTGTGTTTATGGATCCATGTATGCAGAGAAATTGGTCGAAAAATTTATCGTACCAGAATACTTTTTTTCTTATTATATAAAGTTATACCCTGGGCTGATTCCTAGTTAATATTAGCGTTCTAAGTACTGTCGTTTAATTATAATTTTTAAAAAACTAAAATACGACTGTTCCTCACCTTAGAGTTATGGCGCCACTAAATATTCTTCGTAGCGTGAGACTTAAAGATAATAATTTCATGTTTAAAGTCAAAAAAAAATATATATTAGCTCTTTCAAGCAAAAAAATAGGAAAAACTAAAAAAAAAGGTGAGAAACTAGACTTTTCTTAAGTCTTAAGTCTGAGTCCCGTGCCTCAAATTTACATACGGAAGTTTGTAAGCTTCTGAACCTCACGCTAGTCTATTAATATATATCAATGATACATATTATAAGAATCCATTGGAAAAACATACATTTTATTCAGAAACGAGCTGAACCACACACACCCTTTGATAATAAACTATATCTATATACTTAAATAAAAAAAACAATATGTATATAACCTACATATTGTTATATATTGTAACGGAGCCCAGCTGATGTTAAGTGATACCGCCGCCCATAGACACACATTGCTAGGGCTCGCTAGTGCGTTGACGGCCTTTTAAGAGTTGGTACGCTCTTTTCTTGAATCCTAAGTCGAATTGGTTCGGAAAAAATGGTTTTTGAGATACAACATATAAATGTTGTATCTCAAAAACCATTTTTTCAATCATATGATTGCATTTCTTTTAATTGTGGTGGTGAAACCAAACAGCTTTTTAAGTCACAATTTAATCTATGGCAATTTACTGGTATCTGTATCTAAATTCCTAACATTATGTCACAATGTAGTCTTTGATTGTCATCTCTGGTTATATTTGAAACTATGGTAATTGGTAACGTCGCCTCCCGGCTCCATGTCCCACTGACCCGGTTTCTTTGCGAAGAAATTAAACTATTTTTCTTCCGCATTTCTTGTATTTGGGTCACAAAATAATTATAACGGTAAAGTTTCGTTTAGGTCAGATCGTTACTGTTCTTTAAGCGCATGAGGGTACAATTTATACAAAAACGTCACGAAGATGTGCAGCGTTTTTGTCGAAGAAAAGGGAGAGAGCGATTGAGAGAGAGTGAGAAGGGTAAATCCTTATAGAAATTCTATTTTTCAAATTAAAATTTCGTCAAGAGAATTTACGAAAAATTAGTATTTTATATTTTATGCAAAATAATTTATTGAAATCTCAAATGACGAATTGTAAATTAAAATGCCACGTGTTTTTAATAACGAAGAATTAAATTTATAATTTGTATTAATTTTCGACACGACGAAATTCATTAAATTCCTAACTTATCTTCCTTTTTCCCTCCAAGTCTCGGAAATCTAAAGTTTTAGATTTGTATAAATATGAACAAGAGTTAAAAATTAGTTTGTCAAAGAAGTTTCACTTCTGACATGTGTACTTTGACACAATTTTTTTAATAAACAGTTTTATTCTTGCCCTGTTTGGGTTCTAGTAATTAAATGGATAAATGTTTCAAATTCCTTCACCATTAAAATGTTACGCCAATACAAAATGGCGGATTACATATTTTATTAAATGGAAAGGTTACTTTAGCAGAAAACTCTATGACATAATATCATATCTAACAAATGACGTTCATTTTCTTTTTAATAAAACCGTTTATTTTTCTTATGTCATTTAAGAGACTTTTCTGTATTGGGAAATTAAATATATAGATATATTACTTTAAATGTAAAATTAAAAGCATTTAATTTCTTTTTGACGTTCATAAATGCACATTGTGTTATCAAAATGAATAAATGATTTTGATTGATTGATATATTTATTTGTTTTATGCAAATAAAATCAAAACCAAATGAATTTCGAATCCCTTCACAATTAAAATGTTACGCCAGTATATAATGGCGGATCACTTATTTGTTTTTTTTTTATGGCTCTGGCACGATTTATGCATTAGCCAGCGTAAAGTATAGGATTTTTTATAATTCGTGCTTGTCTTTTAGAAATTCGAGTGTGTCCTCCATGTACGGTTTAAGCACTCGCTCGGTACAGCACAACCTTCCCAAAGGCCGAGAACAAATTTAAATTAAATTAAAACTTGCCCTCGAGAACCGGGAATCGAACCCGGTACCCCTCACCTAGCTGCCACTTAATAAGACCGCTAGGCTAGGCCCCTGATCACATATTTTATCACTTCTCAAATGGTTTATTAGCACAGTTCTCTATGAAAACATGGCCGCCAACAAATGGCGGGTAAATTTTTCTTTTTATTTTATATAATGTCATAAAAGCCTTTCTATGGGAAACTATTGTATAATGAGTATACATAGACGTTTTAAATGATAAGTCAAATATTTATGGGTAATAAAAATACTTTTGAATTGCGCGGTCATTGTTTCCTTTCAATGTTTCGTTACATTTGTAACACAGCTCCACACACACATTTATTAACCGACTACTATTTCGAGTAGCTCTTATTAGCGCGGCAAAAAAAAACCTACTAAAGATATTGACTATTCAAGATAAACATTTCCATCATACATTCCATATGTGTAACTCTAGCGATTTTGACATCGCACGCCAGAATAGCTCGCAGATGGTAGATTTTTTCCTACTTACTTAATATTTTGGACAATTCACACAATCATATATATATATAACTAGCTGATCCGGCAAACGTCGTTTTGTCATGTTTATCATTTATAATAAAAAATAGGGGTTGATCGTAGAGGGGTGAAAATTAGGGGTTGTATGTATTTTTTAATGCTGTATCATAAAAAAATAAAAATTAAAAAATTTATCTAAAAATTAAAAAAAAATTAGGGGTGGACTACCCTTAACATTTAGGGGGATGAAAAATAGATGTTGCCGATTCTCAGTAATACCCAATACGCACACAAAATTTCATGAGAATCGGTCAAGCCGTTTCGGAGGAGTAAGGTAACTAACATTGTGACACGAGAATCTAATATATAAAATTCTCGTGTCGCAGTGTCTGTGGTTAAACTCCTCCGAAACGGCTTGACCGATTCTCATAAAATTTTGTGTGCGTATTGGGTATTACTGAGAATCGGCAACATCTATTTTTCATCCCCCTAAATGTTAAGGGTAGTCCACCCCTAATTTTTTTTTAATTTTTAGATATTTTTTTGTTTTTATTTTTTTATGATACAGCATTAAAAAATTCATACAAACCCCTAACTTTCACCCCTCTACGATCAACCCCTATTTTTTTATTATAAATGATATATATGGCAAAACGACGTTTGCCCGGTCAGCTAGTAATATTAGTAAGATTTTAATACCTGTTATGGGACGCAGTCACTATTTCTATTATGGCCTGAACTCACGTACTTTGTTTTTATATATAGTACATATAAGATCCCGATATACAACGACCTTCACCGAGATGCTTATTTAATGAAACGTATTTTATATTTAATTTAATATGTCAAAAAATATAATCCATATGGGTTGCCTAGCAAATTTCAGTCCAGAGTATGTTTAATTAATATTTAAAAAAAAATATTTTTTATAATTTGCATGTAGTACATTTTTTTAATTTTTCTCAATCAATATTTTTAATCAGGGTAGTATTATATATATGTATCACTATAAATTTCTTTTTTACTAAAGATGTATATATACTTTAGTGTCAATTAAAAAATATACACATAAATAATTAATTGATTAAAAACAACCTAACGTTTGCATATTATATGGGCTTCATACTTTCGATTGGTATAGAATTTATCTAATAATCATACCGGTGAAATGTTTAAAAAAAATTTTTTTTAATATTAATTAAAATACTCTGGACTGAAATTTGCTAGGCAACCCATATGGATTATATTTATTGACATATTAAATAAAATATAAATTACGTTTCATTAAATAAGCATCTCGGTGAAGGTCGTTGTATATCGGGATCTTAGACCAATAAATAGTAAATATATCCAGGAAATATGTAACATTCTAAGGGTGAAGAAATATCGCCTACCTACGATAGAATTCATTCACAATAATCTAACAAATACAACATAACGC